GTGTTGGTGAACACGAATCAATAGATTAAATTAATTTCGTGACTACACGAAAATTAAAACACGAAATGCCGTGAGACTGGGTTGGACGCCCATAATGCTAAACGGGAGCAAATGTTAAAAGGGGACCCAATTATCCCAGTGGTGGCCGCCGGAGGGGCTAGCTCCAGCCGGCGTCCAGCTCCAGCCGGCGTCCCGGAGCCCCCTGCGGATCCGTTAGCTCCGGGCGGTGGAGTCCGGCGTTATAACTGGAGATCAAGGAATGCAGCGAAACGCGGACTTGGTTCGCCTGCAGCCCGCTGTAGTATTAGCTAAATAAATTATGTTGAACAAGGCTTATTAAGCTGAACATCGCCACAATTGTTCTGCTATGTATCGGTACTTCTTTTATTTTATTAACGTGATGACAAGCATTAAGAATAACAAAAAATAGCTAATTCTCTTGCAGAGTGTCTCGTTTGATTATGAATGTAACGTTTATATAGGGGAACTACACTGTTTTATCAAAACCAAAGTGCCACGCAGTAACTTGGTATGCATGTATTTCATGTTAGCTTAGCTTCTTAGCCTGAGCTAGCTCTGTTTACTTCCAGTTCGGAGGCAGCAGGTCCTGCCTCGGCTCCGCCTCTTTGCCCTTATTTGGAGCAGACGGCAGTTAGACTCTGACGTCGCTGTCGAGCCGTTAGTGGCCGACTCCGCCTACTAAGGGCTTCTCGGCAAGTCTGCAGATTCCTATGGGTGACGTCACGGACACTACGTCCATTTATATATAGTCTATGGTCATGCCTTACTGATTGAGATCAATCGGAACAGCCGTTCAGTATCCCCATTGGATCTTCAACGTGTACTATCATACGTCACGTTCACAGTGATCCCTTTTTATTTACTACAAGACAAATGTGCCGTTTTATTTCATACAGTTCCATTTTGATTGAGACAGGGAAATAATCTAAACCTCATGCGTGGCGTTTCACTGTCAAGGGGGGCGATATAGCGTGTATGTAATTACATTGCAAATACTGACTTGAGCCCCACCACTGTATGGGTTAGCCCTACCATAGATTACACAACAAAAATACTCTGGCGCCGCCACTGGCAATATATAATGAAAATGTCGAGGGCATGCGTGTTGTGTATGCGTGCAATTTCGTTTGCATATGTTTTTTCACCAGGGCTTCAGTGTTCGCTGCTGTGGCAAAAAACACAAAGAGAGAAAGGGAGGGTAATGGTACAGGGAATATATTGATTTGTAAAAAAAAAAAGTACATTTGAAAAACAGGAAGGAAAAAGGGCAGGTGCTCAAGCCCCCTTTGAGGTCTATCTGGCTGTTTAAATCTGGTTCCACTACACTCAAGTGGGCAGTGGCGGCCGGTCCATAGGGGCGCTAGGGGCGCCGCCCCACCTCTTCCCATATTAAAAAAAAAAAAAAAAATATATATATATATTTAAAAAAAAAAAAAAACATTTTTTTTTTTTTAATGAACAAGGTAAATATTATATAATTGGTATCAGTAAAATGTATAATCTACAATAAAATCTCGTTTAAAATTGTGTTACGATGTCTAAAGTTACTGATAAGTCACATGTTTCCTGCCTGGCCTTGCCCGTGTACCTTCTCTCGTCTGGGCGCTAAGAGAGGAGCCCTCAACCAGTGCAGCAGCAGCCACTAGCAGCTGACTGTTGCTATCTGTAACGTGTAAACTATGCCGCGAAAACATAATTTCAGCCAATCAGCGTCGTCAAATATGATGGTCACAGGGCTCCTACGTGAGCGCCCGGTGCAGTCTGTGAGTTGTTTGGACTCGTATCCAAGGAGACAAAACAGGAAGCTGTCATACACTCTGGAAGCTACAGCTAATGAAAACTCCGTTTTTGACATAAAAATGGAATTATGGATCATCAATCATTTTTCAAAGTGACAGACACATTGGATTAACCTTCAGCTGCGTTTTTCTCGTTTTTGATCAGAATTGTTATTCTGCAAAAGGTGAGCATATCTCCATGTGTTGCTACCTAAAGCTATGTCGTGTGATGTCTGTATTTGCTTCCCCTGTCGCGAGTTCTGATCGCTCAGTGATGATACTTATATTTCTAGAATCAGTGGCGGCTGGTGGAAAATATTTTAGGTGGGGCTGTGGAAATGGTGATCAAACAATACTAGAGGGGTCCGGGGGGATGCTCCCCCGGTAATTTTTTTTGAGAAAAGACCCCTTAAATCATGACTTCTGGTGATGTTAGAGGGGGGGAGGGGAGAAGGACAATTTGAGGCTTAAAAATATGAGAAGACTGATCAATACCTCCATAACTTCAGTGTGGTTAGCTATGAATCTTCCAAAACTTCCAAACACCTTGTCCTGGACATAGTTTCTACAGCATAAACTGTGCAACAGTACAGTAGGCCCACACAAACTGCAGAACACCGGGGCTTTGGGAACACTGATTTAATTCCCATTTAACCTGTTAAGGGGCTTTTTTCCCCCGTTTTTTTTCTCACGAAACTGTGTCTCAGGGCTTCTTAAAATGTAATAAACTATTCATGTGTCCTATTCAGAGGAAACGCATCTAACTGATGATATGAACCATGTTTACCGAAACAAAACACAAGTCTCACAAGAAGCGTCTAAATGAGCCCTGAGCGAAAAAATGCTAACGCACTCTAGGTATAAATCAATCGATATACTTATCGGATATGCACAAACAAGCTTACAAACTGAGATTCCACATATTCTAGAAATATAAGTATCATCACTGAGCGATCAGAACTCGCGACAGGGGAAGCAAATACAGACATCACACGATGTAGCTTTAGGTAGCAAAACACGGAGATATGCTCACCTTTTGCAGAATTCTGATCAAAAACGAGAAAAACGCAGCTGAAGGTTAATCCATAGGTTAATCCAATGTGTCTGTCACTTTGAAAAATGATTGATGATCCATAATTCCATTTTTATGTCAAAAACGGAGTTTTTAATAGCTGCTAATGGTAGCTTCCAGAGTGTATGACAGCTTCCTGTTTTGTCTCCTTGGATACGAGTCCAAACAACTCACAGACTGCACCGGGCGCTCACGTAGGAGCCCTGTGACCATCATATTTGACGACGCTGATTGGCTGAAATTATGTTTTCGCGGCATAGTTTACACGTTACAGATAGCAACAGTCAGCTGCTAGTGGCTGCTGCTGCACTGGTTGAGGGCTCCTCTCTTAGCGCCCAGACGAGAGAAGGTACACGGGCAAGGCCAGGCAGGAAACATGTGACTTATCAGTAACTTTAGACATCGTAACACAATTTTAAACGAGATTTTATTGTAGATTATACATTTTACTGATACCAATTATATAATATTTACCTTGTTCATTAAAAATAAAAATAAAAATATATATATTTTTTTTAATATATTTTTAATTTTAATTTTAATTTTTTAATATGGGAAGAGGTGGGGCGGCGCCCCTAGCGCCCCTATGGACCGGCCGCCACTGTCTAGAATATGTGGAATCTCAGCTTGTAAACTTGTTTGTGCATATCCGATAAGTATGTCGATTGATTTATACCTAGAGTGCGTTAGCATTTTTTCGCTCAGGGCTCATTTAGACGCTTCTTGTGAGACTTGTGTTTTGTTTCGGTAAACATGGTTCATATCATCAGTTAGATGCGTTTCCTCTGAGTAGGACACATGAATAGTTTATTACATTTTAAGAAGCCCTGAAACACAGTTTCGTGAGAAAAAAAACGAGGGAAAAAAGCCCCTTAACAGGTTAAATGGGAATTAAATCAGTGTTCCCAAAGCCCCGGTGTTCTGCAGTTTGTGTGGGCCTACTGTACTGTTGCACAGTTTATGCTGTAGAAACTATGTCCAGGACAAGGTGTTTGGAAGTTTTGGAAGATTCATAGCTAACCACACTGAAGTTATGGAGGTATTGATCAGTCTTCTCATATTTTTAAGCCTCAAATTGTCCTTCACCCCCCCCTCCCCCCCTCTAACATCACCAGAAGTCATGATTTAAGGGGTCTTTTCTCAAAAAAAATTACCGGGGGAGCATCCCCCCGGACCCCTCTAGTATTGTTTGATCACCATTTCCACAGCCCCACCTAAAATATTTTCCACCAGCCGCCACTGCAAGTGGGCATACAAAAACAATATTACTGCAGATATCAAAGCCATATCCAGTACTCTGTTCTTTTACTCAAGTAAAAGTACCTATAGAACATGTTTTGAATACTCTGCTACAAGTAAAAGTCCTGCATACAAAATCTTACTTAAGTAAAAGTATAAGCATCAAAATAATATTATAGTAACAAAATTACTTTCTGAAAATGGCCCATCAATTATCATATAATATTAAATTAATTAATTAAGATTATTAATATAGTAATGATTTCATTACAGCTGGTAAAGGTAGTGCTCATGTGTAATTACTTTAAATACCGCTGGCTGCATGATATTTTACCCCATGATTATATATAATTATGGGTTAAAAAGTTACATGCCAATGTTTAATTTGTAAGTTGATTTATATTTTGTATTATAAATCAGCATTAAAATACTCAAGGAAAGTACATTAAAATTGTATTTGAGTAGGCCTACAGTACTTGAGTAAATGTACTTCACTACATTCCACCATTGACCAGATCTAAATCCCTCATTACGCATCATGTCCATATTTGGATCAGTGTTCATGTCTCATGTCATAGCCTACTTACTATACTTGACTGAAAAAGAGGAAAAAGTTTGTTTATGGACCTCGGTGTGATTTACAGCCCCAGGTTTAATCGCGGCCCCAGAGACGGAGTGATGATGATGATGGTGATGCGCGGATGGGATGAGCTGCGCTGCTGCCCCTAAACCTTCCCTGTGTGGGCGTTAAGAACTCTTGAAGCGGTGAGGCGCTAGGACTATTCACGCAGTATATTTCCCTCCCATTGGTCCCTTAATAGAAGCTGCGCTGCTGTGACACAGCCAAGTCTCCGGCGATAAAAAGAAAAGGCGACGCGCCGCGCAGGAGAAACGCAGAGTTGGAGGGTGGACTTCTGATGGTGGATGCTCCTCTGCGAGACTTACAACGACTGGAAGTATCTATCCAACTCCTGAGGTACTGACTTCATTTATCATTTATTTTCTCTTTGCTTTAAATTAAGACTTTAAACTTTTTTCTCTGATTGGTGTTAAAATGATAAGAAAAAGACTCCAGTGTGCCATAACGCATTGCACACGGGTCTCCACGAATGGAGTTACTATAGAAACTGAGTCAATTAAGAGTGTTTTTTTTAAAGAAATTATTTCCACGATAAGTTATCTCATGAATTGTAGTACTCAAAACTGTGAAAACTGAACGACCTATGGTGTTTTTCCCTTTGTGTGTGTGTGTCAGGGATCTGGTGAAGAATGGAGTGGTATGTCCTGGTGCTGATGCTGAGCCTGCCGCCCTCCATCCACGCAGATTGCTCTTCCCAGTGTCACAAATGTGTGCAGCAGATCATCAGCCCCGGCGCCTTCAGCAGCATGGTGAGACACCTTCACACGGAGCTCACATCCGAGAGAAAGTAGCTTGAAAAAAATATTCTCTGTTTGGCAGCAAAAGCGTAAACTTAATTTGGGACGAATTCTCACTATTTGGAGACGATAGTCATTTAAAATGTCTCCATATATTTAATTTGTCTCTTCCAAGGTGTTATCGTTAGTTCAGCACAGGCAACACCTTTCCTGATTATTTTAACTTTAAGGACCGTTAAATAATATTAAGTGATATCACCACTTCCTTTATTGGCACTTAATAGCCTAGTAACAAAATAAAAACCTAATTGATTAACTTTACACAACCCGTATTATAGCCATCAAAACGTATACATTTACTCATTACAGACTCTGGCAAATAAGGATATAAGTGTTTTTTTGTATTATTATTTTGTATATGTTTTTCATTTCCTTAATCCTTAAATTACAAATGCCACATTTGTCAGGGTCAGTAAATATTATCGATTACATCTTAGTTTTTAATCTGTTACTCATGATGCACAAATGAAAAGATAATAGCACTTAAGGGGTTTTAAAGGTCCATAATGGGAATCAGGAAAGGTGTGTTTCGGGCTAACGGACAAACCTATGAAATGTATTAATCAAACCAAAAAGGTGTAAATGTGACACAGAGGGGTATACCATGTCTCACTGGGTACACGGACATGTGCACAGATTGTGGGTTTACTCTGTTTCTCTGTGCGTCCTGCAGTCGTGCGGTGCGGAGTGTGTGGGGGGGCTGCAGAGCTGCCAGCCGGCTCCCGCGCTGGCGGACTTCAGGCAGGATGAAGGCGCGGAGGAGGAGGAGAGCCAGCAGGCGGAACTGGTCAAGCGCTACGGAGGCTTCATCAAGAGGATCGACAAGAACAAGAAGAAGATGTTGGGCTCCCCGTGGCGCGACAATTACATCCTGGAAGCCGAAGCACTGCCCAAGAAATACGAGGACTTGTTGAAGAGGCTGGGGGAGAAGGATGCGGACGGGCCAGATGCGCCGGAGCACCAGATGCTCCATAAACGTTACGGCGGCTTTTTACGCAAATTCGGCCCCAAGTCAAAGAGGAGTAGCTCCGCGGAGCAGGAGAGCCAGGAGCCCGAGGAGGTGCAGAAGCGCTACGGGGGCTTCATGAGGAGGATCCGGCCAAAGTTGAACAACCTGAAGTGGGACAAGCGTTACGGAGGCTTTCTGCGCCGCCACTTCAAAATCTCTGCGCGCTCAGTGGAGGAGCCGTACTACTCCTATGATGACTTGAGCCTATAGATGCTGCAAACTATGAGAACTCGTGCAGGTTCACTTGAAACGCCACCATGTATCCAGAATGATCATATGCCTGCCCATGTTGCTTTACTCGGTTGCCTTCTGTGTAACTCATCTCCGTGTTATTGCCATCATCGTCTATCATTCAATAAAGGATGCTTGTTTATTAAACTATGAATACTACCATGTTCCTGTTTGACCAACAAGTTAGAAGGGAATCCTGATTTACCGAGTTCAGCCTCAGGGCGCAAAGCCCCATCCTGCCAAACTCCATCCAGAATTTGGTGATTTTATATGTTCTTATTTATCGACACGACACGCCTATAAAATGTCGCTGTTAAATGCGGCATGCACCATTCACTGATTGACACTTTTAATGCAACTTTAATTCAAGAATTGGTGACATTTAATTCAATATGTGTGTAATGGGTTACTTTGTTGCCATACAAATCCATTCGTCCATCCTCATAACTGACGAACACTTATTTCCTGATGCGAGTTTGAAGATAAAACGAATACAAATCTCTAGAAATTTGGGATATTCAAGTTGATCGATCACTTTCTTAGAGTGAGCCATTAGCTGGCAAAGCAAATAAATATGGAGTGCAAAATGATTCATATTTTACTATCCGACTGATTTAAACTAATATGGTTTTCCCTTTTCTGTATAGGATAACTTCTCAAAATTCTTCCAAAATGATCATGTGCCTTTTCTCTCTTGAGTTTGTAATTCTAAATCGTTCTACTAAAATGAAAACAATTATTTAAAAGATTAGCCTACTTGTTTTTCTGTGATCCAAAACAAATCAGATTTTTGTGCAAATATTCTAAGAGTTAGTTGTCAGAGGATCTAGATACCAGAAGCTCAAACCTGACCCATCTGAATCTTATACATCCATGATCTGAATCCACTGGAGAAACAGAAGCGCGTCACAGTGCTGACAGTGAGGCTGTGGCGCCATCTTGTGGGCGAAGGGAAGAAGTGTCAAGCGAAGTCCCACAGCTTCTACAAGATAAAAACTCACTCAATAAAAACGTAATACTCAGAAACACACAAATAAATACATTTGAAAAGTGTCAAGTCCCATGCTTCTACTGGATGAAACTCATTCAGAAAAGAATAATAATAATTACAATAATATTAATACATAAAATGTGTCAAGTGTCAGGTAAAGTCCTAATGCTTCTACAGGATAAAACCAACTCAGTAAAAAATAGAAACTCAGTGTGTAAACGTTTAGCACAATAACCTTCCAGCTGTGAGACTCACGGCTGCTGCTACTCACTCAGCCTGGACTGTGAGAGGATCTTTAGAACAAACACACGACATAAAGGGAACTGATAGAGGACTTATCATATCTCCTTATTGATTAGAATACCAGTGGTGGGATGTAACTAAGTACATTTACTCAAGTATCATTTTGCAGAACTAACATGAGTATTTAAATTGCTACTCCACTGCATTTATTTGACTTATACTTAGTTTATACATGAGTAACATGTTGTGTGAATGGTATATATTTACTACAAATGTTGTCATTACGATTTTAAATAAAATTATTAAAACATTAACATGTATTTTTCTAATAATGAAAACACAATAATATAATATCTTATAATAACACAGCACTTTTAAAAGAGCCATTCTTCACAATTAGGATGTTTCCTTTCGATACCTGAGTACATTTAGCTCATAAAACTTCTGTACTTTTCCTTATGTAACATTTTTAACTAAAGACTTGTACTTGTAATGGAGTAGGTTTAGTACTTTTACTTAAGCAGAGTAGCTGAATACCTTTTCCACCGTTGATGATCACCCATTATATTTCTATAATACTTTTATATATTTTTTAATTCATTACCGTTCTCACCAGAAGATATCAGTGCAGCTGAGGGCTGCTTCAATACAACAGGAAGAATACACTATAGCGCTACTCTGGTCAATTTATCTACATTGAAAATGTCTTTATTACTATTTGCTTTAAGGTAACTATCATTTGTCTCAATAGAAAATACCATACATGTATATGTTTGTGGAAAACAGCTCATTTACTCGTTTTTATCACCTCAACACATTTAAAATCTAGTACATTGTCATTTTAACTGAGCCAATGTCATTTGATAAAGACGCTGGAATCTGGAAGCGATCAACAATAAAATAAGAGTAAAAAAGTGAAAACACATTCATATTTACACTATGTAACAATACACGTTTTCCATTTGAAGACTGAGCATTTATTACTAACTCAACAACACTGCTTTTTTCGGCCTCATTGACATACGTCCCTACAGAAACACACGGCTGTATCAAATATATTAGTTACATATTTACAGTCAAATCATTGCTGACACACACATCAGACATACCTCCAATACTAATACCTACATGGTGAAATTGAAGGACATCTACAAATCGAGTGTTGTATTAAATTATCTGTAAAAGTGAACATGTGGACGAGGGGTGGGACAGGGGGGGGGGGGGGACATCTGTCTCTGTCTCACTGCTGCTCCTCTGACTGCCCCCCCCCTTCCTCTTTAACCTGCTCTGGCTGACCCTCTCCGTCCGCCTGGCATTCCTCTTGTGAGTCGTCCGCAGCGGTTGCCGTGGTTTCCAGCACACTGATGGTGCCGGCCTGCTGCTGGACGGAGGACAGGCTCTGCATCGTCACCAGCTGGAACTGAGGCCCCATCAGCTTCAGCAGGGACCCCCCGGCCCCCTCCTGGCCCCCTGCCGCCGCAGACAGCACGGTGAGGTTAGAGGCGTCGCCCGTCAGCTCGGACCCCGAGAGCGAGGAGGTCAGGAGGGTGTACCCCCCCAGGTTGGCGCCGGTTCCTCCTGCCATGGTCAGAAGCCCCCCCATCTGGTTCAGAGTGATCTGGGTGGGGGCGGCGTTGACGGAGGCGGGCCCGGAGACGGCTCGGGTCAGCCGGGGACGCTTGGGCGTGGGGGGGGCGGGCACCGGGGCGAGGGTCATCAGCACGTTGTTCAGGTGCTGGGATTTACTCTTCAGCTCCTTGGCGCGCTTCCTGTGCTCGTCACACTGCTGCTCCAAGGCTGAGGAACACACACCGTCAATACACACACACACACACCGTCAATACACACACACACACACCGTCAATACACACACACACACACCGTCAATACACACACACACACACACACACACACACACACACACACACACACACACACACACACACCACACACACACACACACACACACACACACACACACACACACCACACACACACACACACACACACACACACACACACACAACACACACCACACACACACACACACACACACACACACACACACACACACACACACACACACACACACACATCACACACACACACACACACACACACACACACACACACACACACACACACACACACACACACACACACACACACACACACACACACACACACACACACCTAATGTTCTGCCCGGTCCTTTAGGCAGTAGGAATGGGAGATAGCAAACAGTGAGACACTTTAGGAACTACCACTCTACAGAGGGGAATCACAGCGGCTCTGTGGGACAGCAGCTCTTTCGATGCTTTAGCTAAGTGTAGCTAACCCCTAATAACAAAGAACTGGAAGATGTGTATTAACCCCCCCTTCCTGGTCTGTGTGAACACAGTGCAGCGTGTACTGACCGGCCAGGCTGCGGGTGTACTGCTCTCTGTAGCGGTCCATCTGGCTCTTATGACTGGCCAGAACCTTCTTCACTAGGTCCAACATCCCAAAGTTCTGCACTATGTTGTTGAGCAAAACAGCATCTGTAAAGCACAGACAGGATGGTCAGAGTTCAACATTTACCAGGGATTCTACTGCAACCTTTATTGAAAAATTGCTCGACTAAGACTTTTTGTAGCCGACTCACGTTTGGTAGACTAATCATTTTCACTTTCTAGTCATGTTTAAGACATGAGTAATGTATGAACATGTTCAAAGACACATGCATTTATATGAAGTGTTTATTTCTGATGCTATAACTTATAACGTTTATATAAATATTTGTATTATTTTAGTTTTATTTTCCTTGTACATTTTATTTGTATGTTTATATTCTTCTGTTTAAATGCATTCATTATCATTTTATTTATTCCTTTTATTCTAAAATCGAGGAACAAAACACACTTTCCCCCAGACAGTCATTACAGTGGTGGGTGTAGTTGGATGTTTGGACCCTCCTTCTGACCTTTGACCTGCAGCGGGGGGTCACACACTCTCTCCTGCAGCCCCTTCAGCACCTCCTGCAGCTCCTTCTGGAAGTCCTCCACCACCTCCTCCATCAGACCAGCATCCTTCACTGAACGCCAGAACGTCACCGAGTCCTCTGGAGACACACACACACAATAAAGTATACACTCCATCGGTTCCCTCCACATTAAGGTGAGTGTGTGCGCAGGTTTGATCACCTCCGATGGCGGTGACCCACTCTGACGTCTCCTCCATCGCCTCAGGGAAAGAGACTGCTGCTCCATTCACTGCAACACAAACAGTACACAACACTCATCAAACCACACAACTCCATTCATTCTGGGTGATAACGCACATAGGAATATGGCTTACAAGCTTTTTAGCTGCTAGTGAACTGTCAACGGGGGGGGGGGGGGGGCGGTGCCGCTGCGGTTCTGTGATTCTCCAGATTCTACAGATGGCCAGTCCGCCACTGCTCACAAGCTTATTACGATCCGAAGCTTTAGTGCGTTTTGAATCAATGCTGAGTGCAGCCAAACTTGACAGTCTCTTCTCTGTCATTGTATGAATGCTTCTTGTTTTGCCCCGTCCCGTTCAAATGACAATCCCATTTCCATGCTCGCGCCAGGGCCGGGGGAGGGGTTACAAGGCTCGCGTCTTGTGCTGCATTCACTTGCACTCGGACATTAGGGATTTTCTCTCATAAATGTCCGATGAGCCAAATCCTTTCTTTCAAAACAAAGCTGCCAACTGGGGTGGCAGCATATGCACCACCACCCCTCGCCCTCCATGATCAAGCGGCTTCTCCGATTTTGTTGTCAATGTTTTTGACTGAACTTTGTTGCTGTTCACATATAAGTAAACATTACGTTTGAATGATTTAGTGAGCTGGTGTTATTTTTTTCAAACCACTATTGGCTATTTCAGCACCACGCGCTGTCCACCTACTTATTGATCCACTATCAGCGTCAGTGCACCCCGCTGCCAGATTGTGCCTGTGCTGTGTGTCATTCACTCTCAACATGGATAAAAGTACAATAAGCATTCTTCAGGTGTAGGTAGATTCTCTATTCGGACATTATAGCCTATATGTGCGACTGTCGGTCCGATAATGTAAAAAATAAAATATATATATATATATTTTATTTTTATTCTCAAAATAATTTTCCGGGCCAAATGTTATTGCTGGCGGGCCACCAATGGCCAAACAGGGCCGCCTGTTGCCGACCCATGCTGTAGAGCAGGGGTCACCAACCTTTTTTAGGGTGAGGGCTACTTTCAAAAAATAAAACAAGTCGGGGGCTACTTTTACCCCTTTTTTTGTTTTTGTTTTTTGCAGTGTATATATTTAGCACATTTGAACATTATGATATGCTTACCTTTAACCTTTGTGTGCTGTTTGGGTCTGTGGGACCCGTTTGCAGTGTTTACTAAAAGAACATGTATGCAATTTAATTATTTTAACCTGCTTTATTTGGGGGTGGACGGGCCTCACCTCCTCTAGGGGGGTCCTCACCTCCTAGGGGGGTCCGGGGGCCTGCACCCCCGTGAAGACGTTTTTTTAAATGTTGAAGTGAAATGCATCAATCTGGTGCACTTTAAGCACAACATGAATTGATGGATACAGCTCTCAACACTCATATGAAAGGGAGCTGTATACTTTTCAATACTCCAAAACTCTTTAGAATATGATCACAACCAATAACAAATCATTTAAACTGGTTTATTCTTATCTTATGTTAGCTTATTTTATTTATGCTTATTTTACTAATCACTCCCCTTTCAAACTGTTTTTATTTTTTTTTACTGTCCTATACACATTGGAATGATTTCTTACTTTATCTATATTAAATAGATAAAGGTGTGCTCTCCCTAGCTCTCTCGCTCGCTCTCTCTCTCCCCCCTCTCTCGCTCTCTCCCTCTCTCTCCCCCCCCCTCTCTCTCTCTCTCCCCCCCCCCTCTCTCTCTCTCCCTCTGTCTTGCTCGCTCACAGAGGCTGTGTGCTCCTCCGTGTCGATGACGGCTTGCGCTAAAAAATAATAATAAACATATTTGTAAAGTGGGGGGACACAAACGGAATTTCGAAAAGAGCGGGGGACATTTCCCCCCTGTCCCAGGTGGAAATTACGCCATGTGTGTGTGTGCGTCAAGTGCAATAAATATATATGCAAGTTGCAACACACAGAGTAAAACTCTGCCCCCCATGTGTTGTATAGGCTGGCATGATAGGCTGTTCAATGGGGCTGATGTGTTGTGTAGATTCTGCCAGAAGGAAAATCAGCGGTGAGCTGCCACTCCACAGTTGCTTTTCTTCCTGACTGCAACGCTGGTCCCGCAAATCAAGCAAGAACGTGATTGGTCGATATTCATTGTGGGGGTGGGGGGAGGAGGGGTATTAGATAGATCGATAGTTACGTCTGTAACTACGGTTCTATGAGTCCCGGATGACCGCCAGAGGCGGTGCTTTTAGCACTGGATATGTCCATCGTGCGCATGCGCAGTACGAGTACCAATATCAACAAAGTCACCTGTGACCCACGTGACACCGGCTATATCAGCCAGTGTCATCAGAGGATCTGTTCCCAGAATCTTCTCGCGAGCACACAAGAATTCTGAGTGACAGGAAACTCTGGCGGTCATCCGGGACTCATAGAACCGTAGTTACAGACGTAACTATCGTTCTATTTCGTCCCTACTGACCGCCAGATGCGATGCTTTTAGCACTGGATGACTTATACCAACCATGTCATGAAGAATCCAAGCCCTGGCTCACTACTGGAAGCAGCGGAGCTCGGCAAAAGGACCACGCCCAAAGAATGGGGAGTGGCGACATTAACCCGATAACTGGAGAATGTGCCAGAAGACGCCCACGACGCCGCGGCGCAGATGGTCTCCAGGGGCGCCCCTCTCGGGGCAGCCCAAGATGTTGAGATGCTCCTTGCAGTGGTATCTCAGCCCAGATGGCAGGGGGCGGCCACTGGCCCCATAGGCATGTGAGATGGTATCGACGACCCAGTGGGGCAGCCACTGGTAGAGGGCACACCTCCTTTAGTGCCGCTATGGCAAAAACAAGAGTTGCTCCGACTGCCGTATACAGGCAGTAGCCTCAATATTTGCCCTTTGGGCACCCACAGGGCACAGCAACTTCGACGTGCCGTTCTCCCGAATGTCAAAGCGTGCTAGTTGGGCAGGCTGATTGAAGTGGGTTTGTGGAAGCACCCTGGGCAGGAATGCCAAGGGCAACACCTGAGAGTCCCACCTCGGGCATGTATCGTTTATGGAGATGACATGTAACTCCCCGACTTGCCTCCCTGAGGCCATGGCAAGCAGAAATGCTGCCTTCGTGGGCAGCCACCAAAGCCCCACCTGGGCCAGGGGCTCGAAGGGAGGAGATGACAGGGCATCCGGCAGCAGGGGCAGGTCCCAAGCCGGAGCCCTCGGGGTGCTAGGGGGACGCTGCCGTAAAGCCCCTCTTCAGGAAGAGGGACACCGACCTGAGGCACCCCGCCGTGGCGCCGTCGACCCGAACATGTTGGGCAGAAATAGCAGCCACATAAATTCAGAGTGGAGTGAGAACGTCCACTATCTAGAAGGGACTACCGTCTGGGCAACAGTGTACCTGCTGTCCCAAGGAACATGCATATTCTTGCCCCTCAGTTGGGGTAGAAAGTACGTGAGTGCAAGCTGCACAGCCCGAAGCTCTAGCACGCTGACATGGCGTGCACCCTCCTGGGCAGACCACTGACCCTGAGCGGTCCTGCCCTGCCGCACTGCACCCCACCCTAAGAGACATGCACCTATGGTGACTGTCTCCTGGCGGGATGGGATGTCGCCCATGGGCACGCCCATCAGGAGATAGACCCTGCCCCTCTGGCGTGACAGAGAGTGGAGACAACGCTGCAACGCTCTGACTTTCCTGTGCCTGTGCCACTTGGCATCCAAGAGAAGGCTGATCAGCCACATCTGCATGGGGCACAACGACAGCGGGCCTAAGGGCCCAACGGCTGAGGCAGCCGTCAGTCTGCCCAAGGGCCGGAGGAACTGAATATCAGGCACCCTCTTGCCCGGCCCCCGAGGAAGTAGGCATCCCTAAAGTCCACGGTTGCGAACCACTCCCACTGTGCATGTGCTGCGGTCAGCATATGGAATGGCAGCACCTCCAGGAATCTGTCGATTCCTCTGAGGTCCAAGAGCAGGTGAAATCCGCCGACTTTCTTTGCCACGAGAAAGTACGCAGAGTAGAACCCCCTGGGCTAAGCAGAGGGTCTACTGGCTCGATTGCCTCCTTGGGCAGAAGGACGGACAACTCCTGGCTAGAGCTAGGGCATCTGCCGGATCGCTGACGACTGTCATTTTGGCCCGGCCGAAGGCTAGGGGCCGGAACTGCGGTTCGTACCCCTGGGTTAAGGTGAAAACCACCCAAGGGCCGGAAGTACAGACAGCCCAGTAGCTGAGCTGCTGCTGGGGGGAGGCCGGTAAGGCTCTGAGGCACGAGGCCGCCTAGAAGGCCGGCAGCCGGGGGCACAACGGATGAGTGGGCCGCTGGGACCTGCGCAGACCACCACTGTAAGCTGGTGGCTGAGTGCGGCTGCTAGAGGGGCCCCTGGGCCTGCTGGGAGTGGGCACAGGCCTATAAAGACCCGAGAGCTGCTGCCTGGTCTGCCTAGCTTGGGCAGCACGCTCCAATGCCTACAGGGCAGCTGCCCCAAACAGCTCCCCTGACTCGACTGGCACACTACGGAGGACATGTCTCCGACAGTGGTGACTAAGCAGGCCAAACCTGGCGACGAGTCTGCACCAAAAGGACATGACTCGTCGCAATTCCCTAGCATTAGGGCAAAGGCTTGCAGTGATGCATTACTGAGGCCCAGCAAAGAAGGCTCAGCCGGAGCCTGCTGCAGAGAGGTAGAGACAGCCAGTATCAGATGGGAGAGGGAGTTCCCGTGCCGCTGTGTCGTAGGCCTTACAGAGCAGCTCGTTTGTGACCCTGCACTGAGGCCGAGGGCACCTGGCATCCGGGGCCAGAATCGGGGAGGCGATGGCAGGCTCAATGGATGGCAAGCAACCCAGCCCCACCCTCGCCGGATCCTGCATGGCAGCAGAGTGGGAGAGGGCCCTGGTGTGTCTCTAGCATGCATGGAGCTCCCTCAGGTACTCCTCTAAAGGAGGAACAGTGGGAATGAAAGGGGCAGGGTTATGCCTGAAGAAGGCGCTAGCCTGGGTCGGCCTGCGGAACCTGAAGCTGCAAGCGTACCAGGGCCGCACGAATAATGGCCGCCATGGAGCCGTCCTCCGTGCCCTGCAAAGAGCTCTGAGCAGAGGAGTGGGGAGCCTCTTCGGGGGTGAGCGGGGCCCCGCCCCCCCTTTTTCAAGAAGCGGTTCAGCCGGAGCCGCTAGCGACATGGCATCCTCAAGCAGAGGTGTGGCAACCGAAGGCGGGCCAGGCGGCAAGCTAGTAGCCCCCACACCGGCCCCTGGCTGAAGGGCCAACAGGAGCGGCTTTGTCTGCTCCATGATGGCAGCTAACCAATCCACCTTAGGGGACAGCCCACATGAATGAGCCATTCTGTGGGTAGCCAGATGCAGCGTAGCCGGGAGCGGGTGCGGGAACACAGCCTGCACCAGCTACCCGTTTAACGGAAAGAGTAGAGCGGTGCTGCTACTCGCCGAACAGAAAGAGGGATGTAATTACACCCACGTTACCGGCAGAGGGCGAGAGCGCTGCCTTCGCCTAGCTGGATAATAAACAAGGCAGTTTTAGCGTCTACCAGGAGCGGGGGCGAGAGCACTGCCTTCACTGGTTAAGTTTGAGACGAATGCCAGATGCAGCGTAACCGGGAGCGGGGTGCGAGAACACAGCCTTCACCAGTTACCTGCTGAACGGAAAGAGTAGAGCAATGCTCCTACTCGCCGAACACGAGAGGGGTGTAATGTCCTACACCCACGTTACTAGCAGAGGGAGCGGGGAGCTAGAGCACTGCCTTCACCTAGCTGAGTAAATGAAAGTGCAAGGCTACTAGCAGAGGGAGCGGGGAGCGAGAGCACTGCCTTCACCTAGCTGAGTAAACGAAGCATGGAGCTACCAGCAGAGGGAGCGGGAGCGAGAGCACTGCCTTCACCTAGCTGGATTAAATAAAGAAGTTCAACAGGACAGCTTAGCCGGGCGGCTGCTGCTAGAATCAAGTACACGTCTACCAGGAGCGGGGGCGAGAACACTGCCTTCACTGGTTGAGTCAGAGACAAATGGCAGATGCAGCGTAACCGGGAGCGGGTGCGGTAACACAGCCTTCACCGGCTACCTGCTGAACGGAAAGAGTAGAGCACTGCTCCTACTCGCCGAACACAGAGGGGGATGTGAATGACCTACACCCACGCTACTAGCAGAGGGAGCGGGAGCGAGAGCACTGCCTACACCTGGCTAGATTAAACGAAGAAGCTTAACAGGGCAGCTTAGCCAGGCAGCTGCTGCTAAGAATCAAGCAGCACGCCGAACACGCCAGATGTTAGCCAAGTGGCCGCTGCTAATAGCCAGAGTGATACGTTACAGGGCAACGTTACCGGGAGCGGGAGCGAGAGCACTGCCTTCACCAGCTGAGTTAAATAATGAAGCTAAACGGTCCATGCAAGGTGTTAGTCAAGCGGCTGCTGCTAACAATCAAGCGAAATCAAGTCAAAAAACACAATATTTAAGACCAGATAACTAGCTTCCAAAGAAGAGAACAGCACAGAGCTGTAGTTACAGTAGTAACCATGGCCAGCCTACACGGCCTAGAACCGTAGTTACAGTAGTAACTATGGACAGTACTTGCACGGCTTAGAACCGTAGTTACAGTAGTAACTATGGCCAGTACTTACACGGCTTAGACCCGTAGTTACAGTAGTAACTATGGCCAGTATTTACGCGGCGTAGAACCGTAGTTACAGTAGTAACCATGGCCAGTACCTACGCGGCTTAGAACCGTAGTTACAGTAGTAACTATGGCCAGTACCTACGCGGCTTAGAACCGTAGTTACAGTAGTAACTATGGCCAGTACTTACGCGGCTTAGAACCGTAGTTACAGTAGTAACTATGGCCAGTACTTACGCGGCTTAGAACCGTAGTTACAGTAGTAACTATGGCCAGTACTTACGCGGCTTAGAACCGTAGTTACAGTAGTAACTATGGCCAGTATTTACACGGCGTAGACCCGTAGTTACAGTAGTAACTATGGCCAGTACTTACGCGGCTTAGAACCGTAGTTACAGTAGTAACTATGGCCAGTACTTACGCGGCTTAGAACCGTAGTTACAGTAGTAACTACGGCCAGTATTTACAAGGCGTAGACCCGTAGTTACAGTAGTAACTATGGCCAATACTTAAACGGCTTAGAACCGTAGCTACAGTAGTAACTATGGCAAAAGTAACCGTGGCCGGTGAATGGCCACACATGCGGAGCACACAGCACACACAGTGAAGATTGTTCTCCGCATCTACCCATCCTAGTGCTAGGAGACTAGCACTAGGAGTGGCAAATACAACAATATAGCGCTATTGCAGTCGCTGAAAATGAAGCTAATTAGCTTCTAAGGAATAGAACAGCCCGCAAGAACCATAGGCCATGGTTACAGCAGTAACCATGCCGTAGTTGCATGGCCTAGGACCGTAGTTACAGTAGTAACTCTGGCCAGAACTTACCTTACTCTCTGCACCTAACAAAAAACAGGCAAATTATGGCACTGTGGGCTTTCCATACAAATTAAATGAGAGACGCAGCGAAAGCTGGGAACTCAAATGCTAAAGATAGCTCGGGCACAACGCCACAAGCAGAACTTTCGAAACAGCATCATAAGGGCAACTTTATGGGAGAGGAGGCGAGAACACTGTCGTCACCAGAAAGTAGCCCGACAATAACAAGACAGCAATCAGGACAACTTAGCTGGGAGAGGGTGCGGGAACACAGCCATCACCACAAGTTGACACGAACCTGTCCGTCGAGGCTCTGCACGGCGCACAGCCGGCCACAGCTCCTGGAGGACGCGTTAACAACCCGTAGCTCCGACTATCAGTCGCGAAGCTGCACGCGGCCAGCTGTATGCAGAGAAAACCCTCAGATCAAACGTTCAAACCTGAACGCTGTAGGCTGCAAGAATGCAGCCACGGTACTCTCGCGCAGCGAGAAGATGAAAGGAACAGATCCTCTGATGACACTGGCTGATATAGCCGGTGTCACGTGGGTCACAGGTGACTTTGTTGATATTGGTACTCGTACTGCGCATGCGCACGATGGACATATCCAGTGCTAAAAGCACCGCCTCTGGCGGTCAGTAGGGACGAAATAGAAATAGAGTTGTAGTAAGTAGATAGAGTTCGCTATGATTTAGGTTTCGTTTATGCATAGGGTAGATTCTTTTATTTAAATTTCCTTTTTTGTTTTGTGTATTTTATACATTTTGGATTTGCTTGGCGAGCTATTTTTAGAACATACCCCGCGGGCGACTCACGTTGCCCCTGCGGGCGACTAAGTGCCCGCGGGCACCGTGTTGGCTACCCCTGCTGTAGAGGATCCAGCTCTGAGATCATCATGAGCCCTGAACCAGCACAATGTCTGACGCTTTGAAACTTACAGTCAGCTGATGAGGGGGGGGGCAGGGACCAGGTCAGCAGACTGATCAGTGCTGACGGACACTTTGGCTCCCACCAGGTCTATCTTAGTGCTGCGGCACGTGTTGGAGCAGACCTTGGAGTGTTGGTAGAAGTCCAGCTCACCGGAGTCCATGATCTTCCTGTGGAGTGAAATAAGATCAAAGGCTTAGAGCAAGACACACAACAGGGAAAAAAACAATGTATACAATCTGTAACATTTTTGTTTTTACTCCAAAACCACCCTGCAACACCCAGTGGCGCTGCAAGACACTCTGGGGGCCCCAGGCAGAAGAGACATGCTCCCCAACACATCCAGCACAACCGCCACGCCCTAACACTATTAACATTACTTTTATTTTGTACTTAGTGTTGAGGGACAATATCAGATTCGTCTAAAAAATATAGAAATTGTTTGAGTAAAGAGCCATTAGTGGGTCTATAAACTTAAGAGTCATGGCGTTATGGAAATGCTGTATAATTAAATTGGTAATTTTTCAATTACCAGGTTGGGGGTTTTGTATCCAATAATATCAAACCATGTAACACATTCTGCTCATTTACAGGTTCCTATCAGTATTTAGAGTCTCTACTGGGACATGTCTCCATGCTGTTCAGAAAGCTCTTTATTTTTCTCATACTGCCTGTGCTGCAGCACCTCTTTTCACCCTCTGTCTGAAACCAGAGCTCAGTCTGCTCTGATTGTTTAGCTAGCCGGCTCTGTTGTGAATGGTCCACCGCTATGTCACTACGTTACGGAAGTAAACAAAGGAGTCCAATGGAGTTGTCTCAGGTGGGGGGGGAGTGTGTGGGAGAGAAACGTATATAACACACTACAGGAAAGGGAGAATTGGGCCTCTATTTAATGCATTCCATGAGTACAGACCTGAGCATGGTGCCATTGAGGCGGATGGCTCTCTTCCAGTCCTTCAGAGTGGATTTCCCTGCTAAACACACAAACTCCTTGGGGCTGATGAGCTGCCCATTGAACTGATGGGAGGGGCAGGAAAAGAACCAGATGAGATGATCCAATTAATCATAAACTCAAGAGTCAACATTTCCTAAAATGCATTTGAAATGAGATTTAGCAGAGCTGTTTGTAGAAGACAAGTGCGTACCTGGACACATTTCACGTTGATCCCCGGGCAGACAAACTTCTTCCAAACCAGCGTGGCTTTGGTGTCTCCACAGGTGATGTTGTAGAATTCATCAGCTTCTACATCCACCTCCTCAGATAACTTCACTGCAGGGACCAGAACACGGTCAATTCTTACATCTGATCATGCAACATCTTTTATAACATTATAAATATCATTAAGTGTATTTGAAACACATTTGGATAGCCCCAGCAGGATGTATTGCTCAGTTACAGAGGTACCTGAGAGCTGTTTCTAGAATGAAATACAAGCTTTGGGACAATTCCTATTAGAATAACTTCTAATCACAGACTCTTCTGTTTTTGAGGCATATACCAGAGTTCCCGTTAGAATATTATTTTGCCGGTCAAAATGTCCGTTAAAGTTGAAATCTTCCGGACAAATGAGAAAAGTGCCGGTCAAAGGTCTTCTTTGTTATTTATTGAGCTTTTACACACATTGATATGATTTGATATTAAACAAACTAATTCTAGTAGATTAACTACATTATTCAAAAGTGTACAGTAACTTATAACACGGGAATAATAAACGGAGCGCTCTCTCCTTCTCCTGACAGCCCGTCAGTATCATGCAGCTCGCGGATCCAGTAATGAGTGACCCGACAGTAAAACTAAACATATCTATAACTATAGGTAGTTTGAGAGGTCATTAAAATAGCTACGTGTGATTTTCTAACCTGAAGTGTGTTTTGCTCACCGCTGCATGTGATCATGCAGAGATGCGTGTCGACTCGTCAGCAGCAGCCGATCTCTCTCTCGTCAGATTAGACTTCACTCACGTTTATGTCCATATCGATCAGATCTAGCTAGTTCTAGCTAATGATATGACTACCTGCTTATTAAAAGACACCTAAACAATAAGCGTCGCTATGCAACCGGGTGAGGCCACAAAGTATAGCGCAGCATTATGCATTTGTTTACATGCCCACCGGAACCCAGAGGCATTACCAACAGATCAACGCACAATCAACCCATACAGGACATCTCTTTCTCCACATTAAGTGTTAGACATTAGAATTGACTATTCTTGTCTGTCACATACTCTTTTGTCTGTCACATACTATTCTTGTCTATCACATAAGTGGCGCAACTGATGCGGTATTGCGCTAAGGGAAAATTATTTTTGACCGGACTTTTTGACCGGACATTTTGACCGGACATTTTGACCGGACATTTTGACCGGAGAGATTTAGATTTGCCGGTCTTCAGCATATTTTACCGGTCATAGTCCGGTAATTACTGGTCATAGTCCGGTAATTACCGGCTAACGGGAACTCTGGCATATACACATATTAAAAGTTAATCAATTGTCTTGAAAAATTGTAATAGTGTATTTGAATCACATGGATTAGCAATGTTGATTCTGGATGCTGATACAGCAGCAAAACGCTGGAAAATAATGCTGAGTCACATGATCCAGTGTATTTGTGCGGGTCACATTACCTATGACTGCCTCTTCCCTGGACATTGAATCTGTTCTGTTGGCCTCAGCTTCTGCGTCCACCGATGCTTCTGTGAGGATTTCCTCCCTGAAAAAACAACACAGTGTTTAATCTATCAAACTGAACCACAGGACCATGAAAGCTCACGCTGTGTTCCTGAGCAGAGTGTGTACATTACCCCGTCTGAGCGCTGAGCTCTGCGCTCACCAGCACGGCCTTCTCCTCCTCCTCCTCCCCCACAGACGAGAGCTCCTCACCCACATTGTCCGGTATGGTGACGATCACTATCTCCCTCATGTCCTGCATGCTGACCTCTGAAGAAGCCATGGAGGATAGATGGAGCTTCACAACAGACAGGATGACAGCAGAGATGAAACACTGATGTTGATTATATCCCTTTAAATAATATAGAAAATAAAAAGTTGAGTGATCGTAAGTAATCGCACTTATTCGTCTTTATTGTTTCTATTACTAATGTGTGCTTTTTGTCTCTATTTAAGATGGCTGACTCTTTGTTATTGCTTGCCTTTTTTACCTGCTATGCCAATTTTGCTGTAACACTGTAAAAAATGTTAAAAAAAACAAGAGGCAATAGAATACTAGAAAAGAAAATTAGGGCCACATGTTTTTTTTTTATAGATCTGACCAAAAAGGAATTTCTCAAAATACAGATTTATTTCTCAATTCTCACTTTTCTCTCAGAATTATGTATTTTTTCTCAGAATTCTGACTTTTATCTCAGAACCACAGAAACAAATCCCTTTCGGTCGGGTCTCACATTTGTTGCCGCAGTTAGAATACCCTCAGAAATCGGTGCACTATTTAATAACAAGTAATAATACCTTTCGGTAATAATAATGACATGTTTTTCTTATGTACTTTGTGTGCTTGTGAGTTTTAAAATAAAGTGAAGATGCATTCTGTGTTTTTCATGTGTAACGTACGGAAGTGGTGTAATGGTACAAAGTACATTTACTTCATTACTAAAGTATAAAATGTAGGTACTTGTACTTTAGTTGACTATTTTCACATCCTGCTACTTTATGCTTTACTCCACTACATTCTGGCGGCAAATGTTGTACTTTTTACTCACTACTTTAGTTACTTTTCAGATATAGGTTATTAATACACTTTATTTATATACGTTATTAATATAAACCGACACACATTATTATAGGTCAAGCTACCCACTAGTGTATAAAATAGTTAAAATAAACCCCACCTTTACCAATTGCAACATTGAAGTGATGAACACATAAATGCACCATATAAAAAAATATATTTGGCTTAAAATTGCCATTTTGCATAACGAGTAGTATTTGTAATGCTTATACTTTTACTGAAGTTCAATTTCTAATGCAGGACTTTAACTTGTAACAGAGTAGGTTTACTCTGTAGTATTGCTACTTTTACTTAAGTAAATTATCTGAGTACTTTTCCCACCTCATCCGTAAGGCTTGTTTAGAGATACCCTATTTGACATATTTTAAATGCTGGTGCCTTTAAATATTAACTTGTAGTTTTCAATGCAGTTTGGTATGCCCTTTTATTAAGCTAAGACTGAAAGAGACAGCATAAGGCATTCAGGATAATAGATCATCTTACCTTCAGTCGTCAGTAGAGTAATGTTGTCTTTGGGTGAAACAGAGACAGTCTGTAACACCAGAATGGATGGATGCTAGCTAATGTTAGCTTTGGATGCAAGCTAGCTAAACACTGCAGTTCATATTTCCATTGAGCTGCCAGGGGTCTCCTATTTCAAACACAACGCAGACCTACTTCTTTAATATGTTGTAGGGACTTCTTGAGAAGTACATTTAAACGAATATCTACAGGACTAAATGAGTGTAATTCACGGATATATTTTTTGTTGCGGATTCTTCTTCTCTTGAGAATTAACGGTAGCTTACATTCTTCTTCTTTGAGGTTTTACGGCAGCCAGCATCCGCTGAGTTGCAATTCTGCCACCTAGTGGGAGTAGTTAATACTGTGACATCTCAATGTAGATGTTTTTCCCAGGACAGTGTCGGTCAAGAAGTCAAACAATCAGTTTAGTACTTTCCTTGTCTTTCCATACTCTTCTGTTAAACTAATGCTTTGTTCAGAATAAAGGCTACAACTAAACTCTGAAATGTCCTATTATCGAAGCTGATGTGAATGATGATTCTCAGTCTTATTTCTGACTCAGACAGCACTGATTTGGTTGCTGACCCACATGCCATGATGCTTCCATATTAGAGTCTTGACCAGATCAGAGAAACATAAATATGCATTAGTTATCTGCTCCCAACGATAACCCTTAATATTTGATTGCCTTTTTTGCATACTTTCTTGACATCTTTAAAATGTGAATCCTCCATGTTAAATCTGAAATCAAATTAAACCCCAAGAAACTGAAAATCTTTAACTTTCATCCAACTATTGCCAACAAGTTTGAACTCATCATCCCCCAAATTAAATTGTAATTTTCCTAAAAATGCCTGTTTGTCCTTTGCTAAAGGTATTTTTTCCCTTTTGTAAATGTCTTCTCTGTAGAGAATCTCCCCACTTGGTTTATCCCTTGATGAGCTCTTTTTTCATTCAAATGCATATTTTTCTTTCTTTTTCACAGAACCTGAATATTTTTAAATACATTCATCATAACTGAGAATAGGGAAATGAATCTCCCTAATTTGGGACTTCCATTCCCCATCACATCTTACTTGGGAATTCTGATTCTGTTTTAACTTGAATATTTCTTCCATTCTGAACATCCATTATTCAGTTATTTCCTCCCATATTCCCATTATATTCACCTCATCAGAAGACCGTGGATCTTATGTACATCTTCCATTTGTAAAACCACTACAGTCAGACACCTTGCCCATTTCTTCCAACAGCTGCATTGGTCTTTTATTTTCAGTGTTGCATTACTGCCATCGTCTGGAGTAATGAAACCTTGCAGTGTCCGGTACGTCAGGCTTTCCTCAGCATTCCTGTTTCCCAGCCACTGTTAGCCCTTAAACTTGTATTTCTAAAATGATTTCCTATTTTTCTATATATTTCTTGCAACTACAATTACACGGAATATAAGCAACACGATATAACCTCAGTGAACTTATTCCTCTTGCCTTTTTATGGTTTCGTAAAGTAAATACTTAATGAACCTGACTAGAGCATTTATTCACTATATGATGACCTATTCCTTCAACCCATTTTAAAGCCATCAAAATGGCTACAGCTCCACAGTATACATTTATATTTGAAGCTTGTAAGCATATCTCAACTTCTGTGACTGCAGAACCTGTTATCTGTGGTGGGTCCTTTAGATCCATCAGTAAAACCTGCCCATAGTCTGCCTGTTTACATTCCTTTTAATGCACTTGTAGTTTTTACCTTAAATTGAATTGTTTCCAAATCCACAACCAGAGTTTTAGGAGCCACAGAGGGATTAAAGGCAGGGGCGGACTCTCCCTCTTCCAGCAGGCTTGTAGCATTTTATGGTTGACAATGACATGACATCTTAAATTCATCCAATAGTTCCTCTAGCCTTACTACGTTATACAGTCTATGGTCTAATTAGAGCTACTCATAAGATACATTTTGGATGTCAAATATATAACATCAGCTCTCCAGTAAAAAACCTACAAGGTATCTCGTCACATTTATAACCTTTTTTTTTTTTTAGATATTTCTAAACGTACATTTCGATGTATTCTTAAATCCAAAATGACAAAATATGGTAGGCCTACTACAGGATTTTTCTTAGAAGTGTATGAAAAGAATCATGCTATGGGAAATAACTAAAGCCGTCAGACAAATGGAGAAAAGGGTACGTTGCCAGGCAATCGCTTCAGGGAGAAATCACTGTGAGTAGCAAAAAAACAGTTGAATCAAGCACAGAGAAGAAGAGGCAGGTTCTGGGGAAGTTGAAGTGGAAAATTGAATGAACAGAGTGTGTTTGAGTGTTACAAAGAGAATCACATTGCTGTTCATGCAGGTTTACAGATGTATGTTCTTAAACATACAGTATATGTGCACATGTGTTGATATGAATTCCTACTGTTAATGTATCAGTTATTTTATGACTTTAGTCTTACACTAACATAAAACATTTTTGAATCAGATTTCATGTTTTTTTAATATTTGGATTACAAGCACGATTAAAGTTCACAATACATTTGTTATGGTCAACCCATATAAAATATATTAAAACAAAGATCAGTATATTATTATAGATATATATATACGTACTGCCCACATTTTGTTTTTTTATTACGGCTACTTTTGGTATTCTTTACTTTAAATATATTGTATTTAATGCAGTGATGCAGATTTATGAAAAAGAAATACCGGGTTTGCTTAAAAAAACGTTAAACTGAAACTGCATTTAAAAAATATACTTCTTATGATTTAAGAGGACACATTTGTTATCCTAAATGTCTTGGTTTCTTCTTTTCTAAGGTCACATGCTTCTGTTGTCTTACATAATAGACTTCAGTTAAAAACATCTTATTGATATACATTTTTTCTTGTATTTACATTGCATTTGATATCGTAATCCAGAAGTAACGGAAAGTAATCATCAGGATACATTACTTTTGATTGTGATACCTAGATTAGGTAACTAATTACAATTTCTAACATGTAACTAGTAATTTTAACGGTAACCAATATTGGACAGTAAAGGATTGCATGTTGCAATTTGAAGAACAGTAACGATAGAGGGAACTAATACGCATTTGCAGCGTCCAATCGGCCAAATCCAGCGAAGAAGAAAGAAACTGACAGACAGGCATGCGTGTTGGCCACTGTTATGAAAACACGGCGGTAACTTGGTTCGGCCAGAGATGCTAGTTTTAACCAGTTCTATGTAATCACAATATTAGTAACCTCGCACATTTCCTCCCGCGGTACCTCAGGGCTACGTTTGAGTGGCGTTTTCCTGACATTCTTGAAAAATGTCTCACTCTCAGTGGTCGCAAAAGATAGTCCAGCTGCTCCGCCGAATGAATAACTTTTATTCACCAGGTAAGTTACACCAGAGACACCGAGTTAAACATGCAGTGGACGGTATGAACGGGTTTTAAAGTCGCCCCTTCCACCTCCCCGCAGGCTCCTGTCGTGCTAGCTGCTTTCGGTTTGAGATAAATGGAGCTCAGGTTGGCTGGATTCCTCCTCAGGTCGCCCCGCTGTTGAGCCGGTTTCCGGATGTGTTCAGTCCGCCGCAAGGGGGCGCTGTGTCCCTGCGACCCAGCCTGGACTCCCCCGGGAGGAGGACTGAGGCTGTGGACGCTGTCCTGCGGACCCTGAGACAAGAGGGCACCTTCAGCTGCCTCAAGGGATGGAGAGACGAGGTGAGACCATACAGTCTATGGGTGAGACACACACTGTTATGATAGGTCCATCACTTAGAGATGTCTCGTGTACATGTATGTGTTTGCCGCGCTAGCCAATAGAAGCGCGAGTGTTACATATTGATGTCACTATGTTACGGAAGCAAACAAAGGAGCCCCGTTGGTGGTGGTAGCACAGGGATTTTAGCCTTTGCAGACCATTTACATGCACACAAACATATATAACACACTACACGAAAGGGAAAAACCCCAAAAAGCAGAATACGGCCTCTTTAATGACTTCCATGAGATATAATGTGGACATTCATGGATAAAAGGGATGGCGGTTTCTTCCGTCTTATACACTGGACTTGACCACGGACTGTATAAGTAAAAAAAAACTGTAAAAGCATGTGAATACCTACAATTAGCCTAGAAGTTGTCAATAACTTCCTATGCATCACTGTAATTCTGAAGCATTCCTGTCTTTCAGAAATACAGTGTGATGTCAAAATTCTCTGAGGCTCCTCTGATGTTGATGGAGAGATCAGCTACAAGTCAGTTTTGGCACACACAGCGCCATGTTACATCAGTGTTCGTGTTGTATGAGCTTATTGTGATGCTTCACACGCAGGCCTGTTTGGTGTGAAGAGGAGTGGAGTCCACATCAATGGCTACACTGTCAGTGACGGGGGGGAAGTCAGCATGTGGCTGGCACGTCGCTCCCCTACTAAGCAGACGTACCCTGGACTGCTGGACCATGTGGTGAGTGAAGACTGTCTGACACTGTCTACATACTGCCATAGTAGATACTTGATGTACACAAAGGATAAGTCTTAAAGGGCCCATGTCATGGCCATTTCCACTGATCATAATTCCATTGTTGAGGTCTACTAAAATAGATTTATATTGTGCATTTTTCCAAACTCACATTGGTTTCTCATACAGCATCTCTGTAAACTACGTGTATTCACTGAATTTCACTCTCTGCCTTTAACGGCTCGTTGTAGCTCCAATAGCTCCAGCCCCCCCCCTCCCTGTGAGCACAGTGTGCTCTGATTGGTCGGGACGTTGTGAATCGCGCTGAGCTCACATAGCCAAACTCATCCTGAGCACACACAAAGTCACAGCGTAAGTAAAAACAATAAGTGTGGCTTGATATTGAGTAAGAAAAAGGTTGATAAACGCTGTGAGAATGGGTCTGCAGAGAGAATGGGTCTGCAGAGAGAATGGGTCTGCAGAGAGAATGGGTCTGCAGAGAGAATGGGTCTGCGGAGAGAATTTCGCCGCGATCCCAACTGTCTGTTATCAGCCTGCAGCCAGGGAGGAGAAATCAGCTGAGCTGCCTGTGTGTGAGGAAGTCCGTGGATTAGTCAATTTGGACCAATCAGCGGAGGCTTAACGTAACGGCTCCGCCAACGTAACGTAACGGCTCCACGGATTGGTCCATTTCGTAGAAGAATCAAATGGACAATGACGTATCTCCAACGAGGCGTTTTGGGGAGGTATTTTCTGTGTTAGAGTTTTACTCGCTACAGGGTGTACTTTGAGGGTTTTGACTCTGCACACCGTTTACATGCATACAAACCTTCATAACACACAAGGGGACGGGTAATAACCGGAAAAGCATGACATGGGCCCTTTAAATACAGAGTTCTTCCAATTCAGATTTCCACAAATGAATGAATGAGTCGATGTTATGTCTCCGAAGGCAGCAGGTGGTCTGGCTGCTGGGTTTGACATCAAACAAACTGTGGTCAAAGAATGTGAGGAGGAAGCATATATCCCAGCAGCCATTGCCGAGAAGGCTCGTCCTGTTAGTACAGTAAGGTAAGCTTGATATTTCTTCCTTTAACTTAACATGATAAACAATCTTATGATCTATTATCAGTCAAACCAACAAGTCAGTAGTGTGTGTGTGTGTGTATATATATGGGTGTGTGTGTATGTGTGTTGTTGGTTAAATGCGTATTAATGAGCCACACTGTTGCACTGGGTGAAATGATCCTTCATTAACATGAACAAACACACACCGGCATAAATTAATCCGCTGCCGAAAATAGTTCCCAACTGAAATAAAGAATAATCGACATTTATGAGGTGTTTATGTAATATTTATGTCTTCAGTAGGAACCACAGACAAAAAGTAAAACAAAACATTTGTGACCAAGCTACATGTTGGGTCTGCACATGGAATTAGTTGATAAAATGGGTAACACCAGATTTAGGTGAGGACACAATTTAGTCATTAACAAAAGGAAAGACTTTAATATAACAAAAAACAATTTCATAACTCACTACTCCTGTGCATTTATAGCTACACCTATGAGGATGAAGACGGGGTATATCCAGAGAATCAGTTTGTCTTTGATTTAGAACTTCCTGTGGGGTTCAAGCCTAAAGTAGGGGATGGAGAGGTGCAAGAGTTCTACCTCCTGCCCATGGAGAAGGTCAGTACTGCTGTTCTGAATATGAATCCTGTGAGATAACAACAATCTGAGGGGAGACAGAAATACCACAGGGGTGTTTGGTTATTGTCTTGGTTTCAGGTGAAGGAACTCATGGCCACTGATGACTTCAAACCCAACTGTGCCATGGTGGTCTTGGACTTCCTCATTAGACACTCGTTCATTGATCCAGACACAGGTTTGTGACACGCATAGACCACTACACATTTGAATAATTGATTTAAAGGGGGACTGTGCATTTTGGGGTGTTTCCCTTCTTGTAGTCTTATGGCGCATTTCCACTACACGGTCGGCCTCGGCCACACTCGGTACGGCTCGGTACGGCTTGGCCGCGTTGGGCCTTAACAGGGCCGACTCACTTCATGCTGCGCTTCCATTACAGTTTAGGAACTGGGGTAGTTACTATAGTAACGCAGTGTAGGCGGAGCCGTGACGTCATCTTCAATGAGAAATCCAGAAACACAACACAGCCGTTAGCTGTGAGCACTCAGAGCTCACAGCTCCTTATATATGTTCAGAAACTCGACAAAAGTTAAACAAGTACACACCACAGACTGCCTGTGTCATGGTGAATACAGTCGCTGCTGTATTTATGTCTGTATAGGCCGTTGTTGTGAGTGTGGACGGTCGGGGCATATACTGCGTTAGCTTAGCCAATCTCCATCTAGAAAAACACGAATTTTAAAAGGTTTTTCGCCTGCCGTCTGTCTGCAGACTTGACAAAGCATTAATTCATGGTTTTTACTAACCGGTATCAGTATGTTGTTACTTCGGCATCATTTTGAAACGTGTATTACAATTAAATCACGGTCAAATATGTCCATCTTGTTGTAGTTCTAGCCCTCTTGCCAGCGCTCCTCTCTCTAGTTTAGCATACTCAGCCCTGTTTGTTGGCCCCGATAGAACCACAATTTTCTAGGGCCAGAAAAGAGGGGAAAAAGTGGCCCCGCGCCGTGCCGCGCCGGAACGAGGCCTAGTGGAAGCACAACCAAAAAAGGGGACGGCACGACACGGCACGCTTAAAGCGAGCTACGCGCTGCAATGGAAATGCGCCATTAGATAGTTTGCAAATGCTAAAATCCCTGTGTTCCCTCCATAGGGAGTTTTTCTCCAACACTTCCCCCTGCCTGAAACTCCTCCTTTGGACTCCTTAATTTACGTCCGTAACATAATGACATCACTATGTAACACATGCTCTGCCTAGCCCTCCAACACATTGTTTCAATAGGCTAGGAGGCGGGACATCGCTAAGCTGTTGACAAATCACGGCCAGCTAACCACTCAGAGCAGACTGTCCTCTGGTTTCAGGCAGGCACTAAGCCAGTCCTGTCCCTTCGGAGATTCAGGAGAATATGCAGGTGTCGAAGGAAATGCTGCTGTTGATAGGGGCCTGTAAAGAAGCATGCTACAACTACCATTAAACTGTACGGCTGGAGCCACACGAGAACGGTAACGCAAACTAACTGAAATCGTTATCAAAAAAGTATTCCGTCCACACGCAATAGGCACCAGAAACGTGTCCTTCCACACGAGACTGCTGGAGACGCTGTAGTACATATGCCGGGCCTGTAAGTGGCACAAAATACACCAAAAGCAGCGAAGAAGACTTCCGAGCATGGTTTCCATGGTTGCCCTTCTGTTTATTCTCCGCGGTGGAGTTAGCAGCAGAGGTGGGGAAAGGCAGGACTCTTTTTCTCCGTCAGCAGCAGCTGATCTCTGATCCCTCTCTCCTGTCCGATTAGACTTCACTCGCGTTTATGTCCATATCGATCAGATCTAGCTAGTTCTAGCTAATGATATGACTGCCTGAGTGTCAAAGGACACCTAAACAATAAGCGACATTTTGACCGGAGAATTTTAGATTTCGGCTAACGGAAACTCTGCCGTGCGGGGGGGTCTGCTGGAGGCACCTGCTGGGTGCACTGTCCTGCGAGATACCGGGACCTGGCTCGAAACAATCGGAAAACTATTGTTGTTGTTGGCGAAACACATCAGCAATGACGCGGGCGACACGGGGGTGAGCAGAATAGGTGGGGAGAGGCGGGGCTATTGCGTCATCGTTAGGGATGGGTATCGTTTGAAATGTATCGATTCCGATTCCGATTCCGGTTCTGCTTATCGATTCCGGTTCTTATCGATTCCCCGTTTCGATTCCAAAATTGTGAAAGAAAGAGGTCAAACGTTTAGATAACAAAAATATCTTTATTCTTTTAAGCTTTAACTGACATTTTTACAAATAAGAAATATACATGCAATACAAATGTATTGCACAATAGCTGCGGGGCAACTGTGGACCTCTGTCGCCGCAACTTACATGATGCCGTTTAAAAAAATGGACCCGCGGCACAGACGGACCCGGTGGAATACAGGGTCTACCGCGTTTAGGAACCGTTAAGCAGAACCGAAATTGTGTATTTTGTATGGGTACCCGGCATTTTCTTATCGGTTCTCATCTGGAACCGAGTTTCGGTTCCCAACCCTAGTCATCGTTATCAGAAAATGATCTTATAGGGCGTACACACGGAGCCGTTTGGCCCCCCCAGAGCGTTTCGTCCGCAGATCTGCCCACCTTAGGACCCGTTATCGTTATCTGCGTTTCCCTGTCGGCCTCGTGTGGCCGAACCGTCTATATGATAGAGAACTGTAGCAGATACGACCGTTACCGTTCTCGTGTGGCTCCAGCCTAAATCATCTCCTTTAAATAGCTTTGGGAAAGACTGCACATCAAAGTACTTACTTTCTGTTGAGCTCATGGCCTTCGCCTTGTCCGTCCATTTTGACCAAATTTATGGAACTAAGAAAATAAAAAAGTTATGTTTTGATACAAATAACAATAGTGTCCATCCTACCTCAAATATTTCATTTATTATTGAATAATTATCTCGAAGATGTTCCCCTATAATGTGATCTTGCAAACAGATAAGGTCCCTCCCATGTCTAGTCCACAAACATTTCTGGAAATTCACTACAACACGATAAATGCAAATCTAAAGTAGTCTGAATAAAACCGTAAAAATTTCTTTTGTTGATTGTAAACCTTTCATTTCAGAGACATGCTATCAGGAATTTGGGGCAGGACTCCATCAGACACTGGAGTGAAGCTGAGGACTGAGGCAGAGATACATTACCATGGTGATAACGTCTCCTCTGTGGTTTGTACGGACCATACACCCTCTCTTCAGCCGCCTGAGGGTCCTCCATCAACTCTTCCAGTAGGAGGGCCAGGGGCCTCGTTCATAAACGTTGCGTACGCTCAAAACATGGCCTATGAAAAATGTTCTAAGCAGTGTTTGCGATTTATGAAAAGCAAACTTGACGGGAAAATGTGCGGTCCTCCACAGACACTTTGACCCATATCTACGCACAAAAACGGGAGAGATGAGAAACTGCGACACCATTGGCATAAGGAAGAATGGAGAGAAACATGTATAATAATACCATACATCTAAATATGACCTCCCATGTATGAAGTTAATTAGCAAAAATGGATAAGAGACAAGTGCACACAAAAACATAATTTGGAGAAATAAATAAATGCGGATGTTATTAAAAAACCACCCCTTGAATATGTTCTTTAATTATTACAGGCTATAATGCTTGCATGGCATACAATGTATTCTTATAAGTTATGTGCTAAACAGAAGGACAGAATTACGCTTAAACTGACACTGTTTTCTATTGGCTGTATAGACACGAGTGCATGGTTTTAGATATTATATACAGTAATAATCTTTTTTAATGTTTAAATTGTTAAGCATTTTAGAACTTTGTTTCTAAACGGTCTTTTACAAATACAGACTTGATGCGTTGCTCGTAAAAACACAGGAGGTATGGAAACGAAGAACACCATGTATTTGGTCATTTGTACAGCTGACACACACAACACATTTGTTTTATTTCCTTTCACTGGTGGATAGATTTGCTGCTGGAGGGTTGAGACGCGCAGGCTGCAGTGGAGACACTTCTCACCGCTGATTGACAGCCGGAACACAAACCACCAAATAAATATAATTTTTTTTGTAAACAAAGCCCCAACTGTTTGTACATACATGTGCAAACCCAGCTTGATTGCACTTTGTAAAAACATTACATTACATCGGAGTTATCCTGTGCGTCTGGCACACCTGCGCCATCTTTTCATGTGAATCCCACGCAAAGCTTTATAGATGAGGCCCCTGTGGTTCTGTTTGTGTGTTGTCTTCCCAATTGCTGCTAGCAGGGGAAACCTCTGTGTCCTGCAAGTAGCTTATACTGCATCACGGCCTGGTACGGCAGCTGCACCGCCCTCAACCGTAAGGCTTTACAGAGGGTGGTGAAAACTGCACAGAACATCACCAGGACGGAGCTGCCATCCATGGAGGACCTTTACTCTCAGCGGCTCAGGAAGAAAGCCCTCAGGATTATAAAAGACCCCCATCACCCCAGCCACAAACTGTCCTGTCTGCTGCCGTCTGGCAGACGCTACCGCAGCATCCGGACTAAAACCACCAGACTCAGGGACAGTTTCATCCCACAGGCCATAAGACTGTTAAACACCTGAGCTCTGTTAAGTGCCTCCATAAGCATTCATCTGGTTGCATCTTACAATTTATATACTGTATCTTACTTAATGTTAATCACTACAATAAACAGTATTTTATTTTACTGTACAATATTTAATTTTACATTCTGTTCTTGTATATCTTATTGTACTTACATGTATATAGACTCTCGCATTTACTTGGTCACTTACAACATTCTCTGCATTATTTATCTTGTTTATTTTTCTGAAATGTATATAGTTGACTTCATCTGCATCACTTACACATTGGTCTTGCAACAACATCTGCACTATTTTATTCTTATCTATTCTACTCTGTTTCTTCTTGCACTATTTTTATTTTATAATTGTTTTATTTCCTATATAACTATGTTGCATTGTTGAAGGAGCTCGGGACTTACGTCTTTCATCTAAACTGTGGCTACTAAGGTATGCACCCTTTAAATCTTTGAATCTTATAAAACCAGGCGTTGGTTGCTGTTACCTCAGATGTAGGGAGCACTTTTTCTAATGCTGCAAACTCCTAGCATGTCAACCTCAAGCCTCTGTTGGCTCGCCTTGCTCTGGGATGGTCTCTGAGTGAAAAAGTACAGCTAACCAGTATCAGCATTACCTTCAATATGAGGAGTAAAAAGGTCACACTTGATATCATGACAGATATATTAACAGTATTCACAAAGCAAGATGAGAGGCTGGTTTAATTGAGTTACCTCATGGGTATAGACTCTACCCTCGGTAGTAAGGAAGACAATTGCTTAGCAAAGAATGAGGATAAAGAACACATGTTCCTACAATGTGGACCATTCCAATGCACTCAAATCACAAACAAGTCAGCAAATAAATGTGGCAAAAAACATGGGGAACAGAGAATGAGGTAATGCCTTAGTTTGTAATTCAGGAAACAGCCCAAATTATTATAAAATGTGCCTGGTTTGCCAACCTGAAGTTTTTGTAGGTTCTTTTTTTTTTGTAGATTGTTTATAAACTAAGCTAATATGTATTCAAATGTTAGAACAATTAAAAACTATTATATAATTTGGCAACACTGCATAACCTAGTAAATACAGACCCAATGGTGAATGGTAGACAAAGCATGACTCATCATTATTAACTGACAAAGCTTGACTCAGAATTTGGTCATTCTCAGTTACAATTTATTTCCTTTAGAATACATTACAAAAAGACAACTGGAGAAATGCGAGGATACGTTACAAAACAATATTCCTCTAACAAATAACCAGAGGTTGCTTGCGTTTAGCATTTCATAATTTGACTTTTTTTTTTTCAAAGTGTGTATACCACACACTGAGGTTTTGTTTTAAGCGGTGTGCAAATAATACAACATAAGCCAGTGGAATATCATGTAGTTAAAATAACATACAAAAGAATAAGAAGCAGAACAAAGAAGAGTTGCAAACACACTTCCAATAAGGCCCTGGAAGACAGGTACACCAAACACTTCCAATAAGGCCCTGGAAGACAGGTACACCAAACACTTCCAATAAGGCCCTGGAAGACAGGTACACCAAACACTTCCAAATAAAAACCAATGCTTTCAAAATGGGAGTGTCGAACAACTGAACAACAAATGATGGCTGAGTTAAAAACAGGCTGCTATTACTTGAGATCATTTCTCTCTAACGTCAGTATAATGTACATTTCCACAGCAGCCTCACTGAAACTGGGAAAATCGAATGACCTGCGGCAAGTTTGAAATATAAACTCAGTAGTGTGTGCATGTCCTTGATGGTAGCTTAACAGCAATACAATAAAAAATAGACTTTTAAAAAAGCTGTTAAAAAGAAATGGACATGGCTGTGAACCTAAATAATGCTGTGGAAATGCACATTATACAGAATGTTTCTAGAGACCTGTAACGTGGAGGACGAGTTGAGCTTGCATTAACAAATTAAAAAGATAAGAAAACATGGAGGCGCATTACTAAAATATGATATAAAATATACTCATGGGAAATTAAAATAAAGGCGTTCCTCTAATATAAACCTGTTTTACATCAATGTGTGGCCCTCTCTGTAGAGGAGGGACATTAAGGCCCCAATACTCTTTGAAAAATGACAGCTTCTTTCATTTTGTTAACCTTTTAATACTCAACTGTTGACAGTGTTTGACAATCCTGATCCATTGAATCACAAACAGTATTCTGACTTGAAAGCCAAGTTAAGCTTGGCTTAATCTTTGTTAATGTTGCATTCATTAACAGGCTTGTATAAAACACTCAAATAAGTTGGTCTCATACCATCACATATTTATGCTCGAATGCCAATAATCAGCGTAATGGAACAGAAAGGCCATATACAGTTTATATTGCCCCTGGGTAATATAGGAGAAAGAAAGAAGAGAACAGTCACACAGCAGGCCATGGAACTCTCCCAACACTTAGAAAGGCAGGCATACATCGGGGGGGCACTGAAGCAGTGAATTCAGGACAGAGGAGACCAGAAAAAACTACAAACCCTCCACACTAAAAAGGCATGAGTGATTCATGCTCTCTCCATGATTTCATGTATCCTAATCATAAGATCATAGCAGTTTTATTTGAAAGCTTTAACCATGTACTACAATCTATACACTGACTTTGTCTATAGAGCGGTGCAGTGATGATGTGATCTTGTAGGCAGACCCGGAAGTAAGCACAAGGGCTCCCTCGGCTAAAAGCAATGGGATTATTTGTATTGGATTTTGGAACAGACGTTTATGATACGTGCACGTTTTGCTCAGCAGGATAATCTCCACATATTAACACCACTTTTATGATACTTAAATGCAACTGCCAGAAGTAAAAAGCCAACATAATGATCTAAACAAAAAAACATGTCAACATCGCTAAGCTAAAGGTGGCTAATATTTTGCGTGTTGGCGTTATGTAGTCAAATGTTGTAACTTTTAAGCAACTGCTGTTAGTGGGGTATTTACTTACATATTTCCTGTCGTAGAACTAAAACGTGAAAATCTCAAAAGCTTGCATTAACCAAATACTTTATTTCTGGAAGAAAAAAAACATTCGAGATGAGGGAGCCAGGAAGTGTCTAAATGCTAACTCATTTCCGGGTTAAGGACTCATTCCTGCACCACTCTACTGCATTCGATCTTTCTTTGTTACCCCTTTAGCCATGTTGGACTTTCTTAGCTTCTCCCTATAATGCCCCAATCAATTGTGCCCAGCTTGGTGCCCCAGAGGACACAGAGAGGGGGTGTTACTTGGCCTGGTCTGTCCCCCCCCTCCCCACCCAGCCCTGTGTGCCCTGACGCTCTATAGCACAGTGCAGCCGCCCTTCTTGCCTCGCCTCTTGGCCTGCAGCGCCGCCCTGGTGGCCATCTCGAACACCTCCCTCACTCCGTCCTTGGTCTTGGCCGAGCACTCCAGGTATCCGAAGGCGTTGATGCGGTTCGCCATGTCCCTCGCCTCTTCTGACTTCACCGGCTCCTGTAGAGATGAACCATAGTCATAAAGAAAAATCATGAAGTCATAGAAAAGATGAAAAACTATTTTAAATACTTAGTGACTCAAATCTGATTTTCTTTTGTGCATGTGTGATTGAGATCTTTTGTTTTCCCATAACTAAACAGCACAAATCAAAATGTCGGATTTGGGCCAATATCATTTAGTCCACTTTCTATTACGTTCATAATATAGATCCAGGTCAGATTTTTTGCAATGCCACCTATATCTGAGTGTAGCTTTGGGGGGGGGTTAACCTGCTGCATTCACTTGCTCACTTGTGGTTTTGGGGGTTAGTCGGGAGTCGAAGATTTCTGTTGACCGCATCTTTCATCTACATTTTCCACCGTATCACACTTGCACTAGCAATCACACTCTTACTTACTTGTATTGGGATGTATTGTATGTTTGCCTTTTTCTATTTGAATGTAATAAATGATCAAACGAACAGAGTTTATTAGACTTTTCTCTCAATCTGTTCAGGAGTAGCAGCGATTGCTCCAAAAAAAAGCTACAAAGAAAAAGTTAGTTTACTTTTCCTCCTCTCCATTATCATCTGCTTCCAAACCCACTGGCTTCCAACTGACAGTGGCGTTTTTATATGTACAAAAGTGGTGGGGCACAAAAAACTTAGATGTCTATATATAAGCTTCTGCAGTGACGTGCAGTGAGGTTCATGGCTGGTGAGGCACTGGCACTGACTCTTCAGGTTTACAAATATTATATTTTGACCTAAATACAAATATTCTATTATTTTCAAAAGCTTTTTTTGTCTGATGCTTCGATTAATTTTAAACAGACAGTTCAACAAAAGGATACCCAAAAAATGTAATTTTATCATTTAAATATTGAATTGTTCTCTCTTAGTAAGATCCCATTTTCAATAAAATTGCGGTCTTACCTTGACTTGAAGATGAAGTCCATTTGCCTATCCTTCTGGACAAACATTTCTATAACTTTTTTGTAAAAGTCCTCCTTATCTTCTTGTAGTTTCAAAAGTCTATCATAAATCTAATCGATAGATTTATGATAAAAATGATAAAAGTAGGGTAGACATGTGGATATTATCCGGCTGAACAAAACGTGCATTTATCTAACAGGTACGTTTCCCACAGATCTTATTTTGAGCTATTTTCTAAAATCCTATGGAGAAACCTCATTGCTTTTTTGTCGAGGGAAGCCATGCGCAGCTTACTTCCTGGTTTTAGGACACGTCACTGCAGCTCTCTCGTCTCCTCTTCACACACCACACTTTTCGCGGCACACGTACTTACAGCCAATCAGCTCTGAATGATGTGAGATGACGTATGGTGGGGATGGCAGCTCAGTGCCCCTATGGTCATTATTTTTTTGCCACACACATTAAATAGGAAAATACTCTGAGCATGCGCAGTGTAGTTTTTACAGCACCCATTCACTTTGACAGTGAGAGACAGGGGCTAGATCGGGGCTTGACCCACATCACTCAAAACGGCTCAATAGGCACACTGTAGACACTAATTAGAAGAACACAGACTAAAACAGCAATGTACAGACGAATCAGATGATTAAACATGATCGTAAAATATATTTTAAGAATAATTTTTTCAGTTCAGGACTACGACCGGTTCACACAGAAATCTGATATTGGGCACATTTATAAAGAAGTTTGATCTGACAGTAACGTTACTGTACATGCAGGATAGCTTGTAGTTCATACTTAGGTAGATATTATTGATGTATACAGAACTCCAGAGGCATGGGAATGAGCTCCATACAGGACTGACCTGTTTCATCTTAGCCAGCTCTCGGCGTGTGTGATCGTCATTACGCAGGTCTTTCTTGTTCCCCACCAGAATGATGGGCACGTTGGGACAGAAGTGCTTCACCTCAGGAGTCCACTTCTCCGGGATGTTCTCTGCAACGAGCACAAGAGGTACAAGTTGAACATGGAGCAGATGCAAACAGAATGTGTGTGAAACTAAGGAGGAGAGGAGGAAGTCTCACCCAAGCTGTCGGGGCTGTCCACGGAGAAACACATGAGGATAACATCAGTGTCGGGGTAGGAGAGGGGCCTCAGCCGGTCGTAGTCCTCCTGACCCGCCGTGTCCCAGAGGGCCAGTTCCACCTGCAACACCACTGCATTACTGCCAGGGAAATCACTGCGAGGGGCGGGGCCAAGGAATATATCAATCTACAAAAGCAGCTTTAGTAGTTGATATACTTATTTGCTGTGCTGTTTAATTTAAATAGTGTTGAGTTATTTCTACATTCTTATGCTTATAGTTATGATGTTTAAGATGAATGCCTTTGCTGGTATATCTGAATTCAAACTATTATGTGTAAACTCATTAGATTTTGTTATGTTTTACCTCTAAAAATAAAAGATAAAAGATTGATCTGGAACTCCTGCTTGTGATAATCTGTAAAAACAGTGCATTGACTTTATCCTTAAGCTCCTTAACCTCCTTACACACCAAACTGACACCAAAGAACACCAAAGAACACGTCCCGACGGAACGTCGCCTCACGTCGCCTCACGTCTCCTGCGTCTTGGCCATGTGTCGCACTGGAACACACCGCAAAGACTTCAGCCGACGGCCAAGTTGCACGTACTAACTGCGCATGCGTGATTGGCAATAACTCTCCTTACCAGCAGGCGGCGGTAGTGTGTATTCGTCATTCAAAAGAGGCAACAACCGGAAGACAGACTGCGTGATACACAGAGAGAAGAAGAACAGACTGCGTGATATAAACAAACAACAAATAGCGTGTGCGTTCCATTTTCACTCAACAACGAGAAGCTCATGGGGCTTTCCCCAACCTGTGTCGAGAGCTGGAGTTAAATGAAATCTCAGATTTGCCTTCTTAATAGTTTGTTTGGGTCCCTCACTTCCATTTCGCTTCTCATGCACTGATTCGCTAAGCTGAACAGCCAATCAGAGTGATTTCTTTGGCCGACAGCCTACCGATTTAGCATGTCGAATCGGCGGCGGAAGGTGTCGGCACGGCCGAAAAGACACGACGGTGCAGTACACACCAATCTGAGTAGGGCGACACGACGCTCATCGACATCTATCGACGCCGAAAATCGGCTCGGTGTGTAAGGACCTTTACACACCAAGCCGATTTTCGGCGTCGATAGAAGTGAGGGAGCCAAACAAACTATTAAGGCAAATCTGAGATTTCATTTAACTCCAGCTCTCGACACAGGTTGGGGAAAGCCCCATGAGCTTCTCGCTGTAGAGTGAACATGGGACGCACACGCTATTTGTTGTTTGTTTATATCACGCAGTCTGTTCTTCTTCTCTCGGTGTATCACGCAGTCTGTCTTCCGGTTGTTGCCTCTTTTGAATGACGAATACACACTACCGCCGCCTGCTGGTAAGGAGAGTTATTGCCACTCACGCATGTGCAGTTCGTACGTGCTACTTGGCCGTCGGCTGAAGTCTTTGCGGTGTGTTCCAGTGCGACACATGGCCAAGACGCAGGAGACGTGAGGCGACGTTCCGTCGGGACGTGTTCTTTGGTGTTCTTTGGTGTCAGTTTGGTGTGTAAGAGGCTTTAAACCTTACCATTCTCACAAGACAACATAATCCCAAACGTAATATTCTTTATATCTTAATTTAAATCAAATGACATGAGCTCAGAAGCATGCAGAGAATACGATTTAGATTTTATTCCCTAGATTTTTACTGTGATTTACATTAAGAGATCTCTCTATTATATATGCATCATGTAAGGAAAACAAATTCAAAACCTGGTTCTATGTGATTGTTATGTGCTTGTAAAACTGTCATTAACTCTAAATTGGCCATTTTATGAATGATTAGAAAAGATTGACCCATTTAGAATGACAAATTGAATGTCTTTCACAGAGCGATGACTCTTTAAATGTTGGGTTCATATAATAAAAGTGGTGTGTGTGTGTGTGTGTGTGTGTGTGTGTGTGTGTGTGTGTGTGTGTGTGTGTGTGTGTGTGTGTGTGTGTGTGTGTGTGTGTGTGTGTGTTTTCCTAAGTAGCCTAGCTTAGCATAAAGACTGGCAACAGGGGAAGACAGTTAGCCTGACTCTGTCCATAGTATGATATTCAAAATCTCTAATTTGGGATTTAAAAGACATGCTGGAACTTGACTGAGGCCAGATTTGTGACTTCTCAAAGTCTCGAGATTCGCTGGTTTCCAGGCAACCACGTGACATGAAAAGGCCTGCATTCAGCTGTCATTATCCAGATGACCAATCAGATGGCGATGGGGTGAGGGAGAGACTTTGAGTTAAGGACATGACGATATATCGCCAAATATAACCTTTGTGTGTAAATGAATTGCTCTTCATATAACATGTCCCTGATCAATTTGATTACTATAAACTGAAGTACACTTTGCCCCCCAGACAGCACTGAGAAGTTTTTTTTAGCAATTTATGATACTTACACCTTTTGCTCAGCAGGATTATCTCTGCATATTAACAACACTGTTGTGATATTTAAAGCATAAATGCAATTGCCAGAAGTGAAAAGCTAACATTATGATATAAACAAATTACATATTGGTCACATGACTTCACGTTAACACCGCTATGCTATCGGCAGCTAATATTTGACGTGATGGTGTTTAGCAGTCTCATTTGGTTACTTGATAGCAACCGCTATAATTATGAGACGTCAAAGCTTATGGCATTCACCAGTCGGGTATTTACTGACTTTTTATGGCATTAACAAAACCCCTTACATTTTAGAATCTAACCAAAAATGAATTAAAAAAAAACATTGACTTCGTGATGAGGGAGCCCCGAAGTGCCCACATGCCAACTCATTTCCATGTAAAGGACTTATTGCTGCACCACTATACTGCCTTACCCCTTTAGCCTGGTTTGAATTGTCTCACTTCTCCCTATAATGCCCCAATCATTGTAACCAACTTGGTGACCCAGAAGACACAGATAACGGTTCAAATGTAAAAAAAGATAACAAGTCTGTAATAAACAGCTTACCTGTTTCCCATCCACCTCGATGTCTGCCACATAGTTTTCAAACACCGTGGGCACATACACTTCAGGGAACTGGTCTTTGCTGAACACTATGAGGAGGCAGGTCTTCCCACAGGCTCCATCACCCACGATCACCAGCTTCTTTCTGATTGCAGCCATCTGAAATGAAAATGAAAGAAAGAAGATATTTTTATCAGCATACAAGATCGGGAAGTCTAAAGGCAAGTAGAGACATGTCATTCAAATGAGACGGTGATGACACGGGCTGAATGATTTGGAAAATACGTACATCACTGCACTTTTTTGACTGATATAGCAATGGCAGTATGACATTGAAGGGAAAACAAGGTATAATTCTTTGCAAGGAACAAATATTTTTTTCATAAATCTGTAAACCCACATTTTTGCAGGCTAGTACATTTCTAAAGCACCCCAATACTTCATGCAGAATGTTATTTTGACACATTGTATCCTTTTACAAATATTGCACCTCCTGCGTCGACTTCCCTTCCCCAGAGTAACACCTCTCAGTGTGGCAACAGAAAGCCTTACTGACTCGACACTAGTGGTTAAGCAATGTGGTTTTATTAAATGGCCGATGCCCATATTTAGAGAGTGGGCGGCCGTTAATGATAATGTTGACAGATTGTTGCTGTTCTCTTTGTTACATCTGAGAAAATACAGCAATTAAATAACAAGTGAGGTACTAACTTGCTGAATTTGAGTCTATTAACCTCTAGTAATTCTCACATTGACTCTGTTCGCTTGAGCCGATTTGCACTCTGTCTGCAGTGCACTTCTTCTAAATAAACAGAAATGTATCAACTAAATAAAGGATCCAAGGTCACCAAATATCTTAGGTTATCAGTATATAGCAGCACCTCCTTTTGCTGATAGACAACTATCATTTTTAAACCTATATAAGGTTCAAGGTTCTTTAATTGTCAAACGAACATAGCTACAGTGTAGTTATGTCGATGAAAATCTTGTGTCACAGGCTTCTCCAACAGAGCAACACAAAACACAGATAAACAGACAAATATAGTACAAGAAGAAAATAGTTTAAAAAAGTGAAATAGTGCAATAAGAGTCTATATGCAAGTCATTGAAATATGATATATTAGGTAAATAGATTAATATTTTTGAAGTAGAAGCCAGATGAATATTGTGGATGTTGTTTCAACAGTTCAGGTGTTTAACAGTCTTATTGCCTGTGGGATGAAACTGTCCCTGAGTCTGGTGGTTTAAATAAGAATAAATAAATAATGTCAATAGTGTAGTGGTATTCCCTGGTGTTGGTTAAGTGAAAAAGTACAATTAAAAAAGAAGTAATACAAATTGGCAGGTTGATTATCTCAAAATGGCCTTGATCTGCCCCATTAACCAGTCAATAGTCAACAACTACAGGCACTATCTGTTCGCATCTCACAAATGTATATATTTCTACAATAATCAGTATTTATTCCACTGTAAAGTATTTAAATATAAATTATGTTCTTGCAACATAATCTTGCACTATTTTATTTCTGCTCAGTTTCTTCTTGCACTATTTTTTATAAATGTGTTTTATGTCTTATATGCATTGTTGGAGGAGCCTGGGATTTAAGTTGTTCATTTCCATAACAACACTGTAGCTACTGTGCATAAGACAATAACGCCTTTAAATATTGAATCTATTAACTACACAGAACCAGCAAAAATACTAACCATCTCCTTCCCATCTTGCTTGAGAGCAAACATATGGGGCATTATTCTGTTTAATTTGGGTTATTACAAATAGTAACAGAACATTATAATAGAGACAATCATTCTTATTCCAAAAATGACCTTATCAACAGTCTAAATTATTATTGTGGCCGTTGATCCAAAACAGCTATATGTCATATCGGTATGGTCCTCAACACGAGAATAGTGCCTGATTTAAATTCAGCCAACCCTAATATACATTTTAGTGGATGGATCTAGTACTAAAACGCATTCAGATTAAATGATATACAGCCTGCCTTATAACCCCTTGCTATAAATGAAATACTACATGCTTAAGAGAATGACATCGAGTGGATAACGTTAACACACCTTCGGCAAATGTTATCGTTATAATATCCTAATACGGCGTTAACTTGAAGTGGATTTGGCAAGTTTACGTTGCATTATTACTTCACTTCCTCACTGCTATTTGCCTCAAATGTAAGGAGAACATGTATCTGCCAATTTAACCTCGGATTAATCTCGTCGCATTACAGATGATTTACAATCCCAATGACACATAATCGTCAATAATATCATTTTTGGCCTATGTTTATCTGAATCCGTTACAGTGTCAGCTAACTTCTAGCTACCAGCAGTTTCCATTGCAGCTATAAAGCTAACTACTAGCATGCTAACTTTGCTTAGTTTTTCGAGACAGCTGGTAGCTTGTTAAGATGGATACATGAGATTTGATACCGCACTATTGATTTTAGCACACATCGTGACATATAAAGCAAGTAAAAGTAGACATATTATTAGTAACGTGAGTCAGGTTAACGTAATTGTACCGTTTTATTGGAGATCCTCGCCTTTCTTCAGTTTTCCTGTCGGACCTTACAGTCCCGCCCCCAGTGCCACGATGATTGGGTCCGCCCACATTACATACTTTCTGCCAATGGGACATGCCGGACTCATGATTGAGAAGTAAGGGAGCCAATCAATGTAGCTATTGCGTGTACGAATCTCCCAGTTCTGTCTTCGGTAGAAAAAAGTTATAAGCACTGTTTAGCCTGGGGTCAAGCCTCCAAGGGCTTTTTTGTCGTCTCTGTGGATTCAGTCCCCGCTGCTGCTGGTGTTTTAAAGATGCATTATTTCCTTAATTCCTATCTCTGAGACCATGTTAAGAAAGTGCTGTTAATAGCATGTCAAGCGGCAGATAGCATGCTGTTCTGGTACAATTGAAATTAAGGGCCAAAGCAGATAAAATGTAGGGATTAAATCCGTGTATCTACCGTCCAATTGTTTTTCTTTATTAAACACGTAAACGGAAGAGCGTCTGAAAGGCCTTTTTGCTTTTTGCTTTTTACCTTACTAAATGGTCGTTGGAGCGAGGGGCGGGGCGAAACTCACGGAAGTGATTTCAAAACAAAAGCACTCGTGTGCTTGGAATTTATTATACATCCATGGCTTGGAACGGTGATAATTTTTAAACAAGGGGAAACTAGGTGAATTTAGCGATCACAACGAAAACGGCCAAGACACATATTGAGCCCAGAAAATGAATGTTATTAAGGGCTGTAAATATAATAAGTCTGTGTCTAAAATTGACAACTTTTACGGTGTACTTTGTGAATAATCCTCTGTCAGAGTCCCCTCCAAAGTACATAATGCATGTTTTCTGCTATCTTTGATGAATGATAAAAAGACAATGTTACCATTAGTTCTTAATTATATTCATACTGTTTGACTGTGTATTAGTTAGCCTGCTACTAACAATACATTGAAGTACTTTTACTGTGTATTCTTTTAGTAATCCTCTGTCAGTGTCCCCTCCATAGTACATAATGCATGTTTTCTGCTGATGATGACTGCTGGACTCAGTAGTCTTACACTTACTACCACAATACAATGAAGTACTTCTAGTGTGTTGTTTAAAAAATCCTCTGTCAATGTCCCCTCCTGAGAACAAAGTTTGATGAGGTAAAAAAAGATTGTTGCCATTAGTTCTTCGTGAGATTGACACTGTTGGACTCAGTACTAGTGGAACTACTCCCACAAGTACTATGAAGTACTTTTACTGTGTACTTTTTGAGTAATCCTCTGTCAATGTCCCCTCCTGAGTACAAGAATGCATGTTTCTCTGCTATTTTGAATCAGCGTTTTATTCATGAGACTTATATTGTTGGACAGAGTATTTTAAGAGGATATGACATGATATCAGCACTACTTCCAGTCAGTACTCCCGCAGCAGCATTTTTACACCTTGGAAAGTCTTTAGAGACTGGCCTTCAGCAAAGTGACAAACCCTTGCTGTCTTGCTGTCTTTTAAATAGGACTATTTCTCTACTCCTAGACTAGTTAATTCCTCGCAGATTCTTCCATCAGTCCCAGTCATTGCATGTCAGTCAATAGAGCTTCGAAAAATGTGTCCAATTCAACAAAATGTTTTTTTGTGAGTGAAGGCCAGAGCTAAACTAGAAAATGCATTTCCTGCAGAAAATGCGTGCGAATGCTGTAAACTGTGAATTAATTTAGCTGAAAATGCAGAAAAAGCTGAATATGTTATTAGCTGAATGGTAGCTGCTTTTAGCAAAAAAAATGGAGAAAAAGCTTAATATTTAAAAGAAAAGGTTTAAAAAAACATGTATAGCCTTGATGTCCTGAAATAGCCGAATAATGTAATAGTTGAATGGTTTCTGCAGCTGAAAATAGGCTGAAGGAGTTAAATATCAGATGTAAGTAGTAGTAAATGAATTTGTATTAAGATGAGAAAAGAAAGTAAAAAGGCTTGGGAAAGCATCAGAATATTTGAACTACAAACTTTTGAACTAACTTGATGGTCAATTATCTGTCGCCATGGCAACGGCATTTGATGACACCCCATAATACGCTTAGATGTGTTGATGGCTGCATCGTTACCAAACCTGTGAAGTTTTGGGCCATTTCGAGCATTTTCACTGAAGTTATGAGAAAACCGTGTTTCATGGTGAGCATTGTGTTGCCATGGCAACGGCATTTGAAGAAATCTCAAAACTGTCCCGTAGATGTCTTCACGGCTGGACTGTTAGCACACGTGAAGTTTGAGCACTTTTTGAACATTTTCATAGTAGTTATACATTACATTAGGAGGTTACATTACTCTCTCTCTTCTCTTGATCGCCCTCTCTCTTCTCTTGATCACCCTCTCAATCTTCTATCGCCCTCTCTCTCTTCTCTTGATCGCCCTCTCTCTCTTCTCTCTCTCTTCTCTTGCTCGCCCTCTCTCTCTTGATCGCCCTCTCTCTCCTCTTGATCGCCCTCTCTCTCTCCTCTTGATCGCCCTCTCTCTCTCCTCTTGATCGCCCTCTCTCTCTCCTCTTGATCGCCCTCTCTCTTTCCTCTTGATCGCCCTCTCTCTCTCCTCTTAATCGCCCTCTCTCTCTCCTCTTGATCGCCCACTCTCTCTCCTCTTGATCGCCCACTCTCTCTCCTCTTGATCGCCCTCTCTCTCTCCTCTTGATCGCCCTCTCTCTCTCCTCTTGATTGCCCTCTCTCTCTCCTCTTGATCACCCTCTCTCTCTTCTCTTGATCGCCCTCTCTCTCTTCTATTGATCGCCCTCTCTCTTCTCTTGATCACCCTCTCTCTCTCTTCTCTTGATCGCCCTCTCTCTCTTCTCTTGATCGCCCTCTTCTCTTGATCGCCCTCTCTCTCTTCTCTTGATCGCCCTCTCTCTCTCCTCTTGATCGCCCTCTCTCTCTCTTCTCTTGATCGCCCTCTCTTTTCTCTTGATCGCCCTCTCTCTCTCCTCTTGATCGCCCTCTCTCTCTCCTCTTGATCGCCCCCTCTCTCTCTCCTCTTGATCGCCCTCTCTCTCTCCTCTTGATCACCCTCTCTCTCTTCTCTTGATCGCCCTCTCTCTCTTCTATTGATCGCCCTCTCTCTTCTCTTGATCGCCCCTCTCTCTCTCTTCTCTTGATCGCACTCTCTCTCTTCTCTTGATCGCCCTCTTCTCTTGATCGCCCTCTCTCTCTTCTCTTGATCGCCCTCTCTCTCTCCTCTTGATCGCCCTCTCTCTCTTCTCTTGATCGCCCTCTCTTTTCTCTTGATCGCCCTCTCTCTCTCCTCTTGATCGCCCTCTCTCTCTCCTCTTGATCGCCCTCTCTCTCTCCTCTTGATCGCCCTCTCTCTTTCCTCTTGATCGCCCTCCTCTCTCTCCTCTTGATCGCCCTCTCTCTCTCCTCTTGATCGCCCACTCTCTCTCCTCTTGATCGCCCACTCTCTCTCCTCTTGATCGCCCTCTCTCTCTCCTCTTGATCGCCCTCTCTCTCTCCTCTTGATCGCCCTCTCTCTCTCCTCTTGATCACCCTCTCTCTCTTCTCTTGATCGCCCTCTCTCTCTTCTATTGATCGCCCTCTCTCTTCTCTTGATCGCCCTCTCTCTCTTCTCTTGATCGCCCTCTCTCTCTTCTCTTGATCGCCCTCTTCTCTTGATCGCCCTCTCTCTCTTCTCTTGATCGCCCTCTCTCTCTCCTCTTGATCGCCCTCTCTCTCTCTTCTCTTGATCGCCCTCTCTTTTCTCTTGATCGCCCTCTCTCTCTCCTCTTGATCGCCCTCTCTCTCTCCTCTTGATCGCCCCCTCTCTCTCTCCTCTTGATCGCCCTCTCTCTCTCCTCTTGATCACCCTCTCTCTCTTCTCTTGATCGCCCTCTCTCTCTTCTATTGATCGCCCTCTCTCTTCTCTTGATCGCCCTCTCTCTCTCTTCTCTTGATCGCCCTCTCTCTCTTCTCTTGATCGCCCTCTTCTCTTGATCGCCCTCTCTCTCTTCTCTTGATCGCCCTCTCTCTCTCCTCTTGATCGCCCTCTCTCTTCTCTTGATCGCCCGCTCTCTCTTCTCTTGATCGCCCCTCTCTCTCCTCTTGATCGCCCTCTCTCTCTCCTCTTGATCGCCCTCTCTCTCTCTCCTCTTGATCGCCCTCTCTCTCTCCTCTTGATCGCCCACTCTCTCTCTTCTTGATCGCCCACTCTCTCTCCTCTTGATTGCCCTCTCTCTCTCCTCTTGATCGCCCCTCTCTCTCTCCTCTTGATCACCCTCTCTCTCTTCTCTTGATCGCCCTCTCTCTCTCTTCTCTTGATCACCCTATCACTCTTCAATCACCCTCTCTCACTTCTCTTGATGTGTCTGTGAGAGAGAGGGAGAGTGTGTGTGTGAGAGAGAGGGAGAGTGTGTGTGTGTGTGAGAGAGAGAGAGAGAGAGAGAGAGAGAGAGAGAGAGACTGTCTGTCTGTCTGTCTGTCTGTCTGTCTGTCTGTCTGTCTGTCTGTCTGTCTGTCTGTCTGTCTGTCTGTCTGAGAGAATTGTTACAGCTCAAATGCATTGCAATGACTTCCATGTTAAAAAAAGACTTTAAAAAGCTGAATATTTTAAAAAGTATAACATATTTTGAAAAAGTTGAAAATTTCCCATCATGTGCTGAAAAGGCTGAATAGTTTGATATTTGAATGGTTCCTGCAGCTGAAATTAGGCTGAAGGAGTTAAATAAAGACATTAAATGTAAGTAGTAGTGAATGAATGTTTACAAACACCTGTGTGTGTAAACCCAGAGATGAAAGGTTACCATGGTGACGACTTATGACGATTTTCCAACTGCAGCACTGAGTCCCATTAAGAATGCATTGAGGATTATATCTGACAATTTTGCCACCTGCTCAAAAACTATGGCTCCTATAAAAAGAATACCAGACCGTGAGCATCAGGGAACCCCAATGAACTGATATATGTTGTTTTTTTTGGTTTTGTGTGTAAAATGTGGAGATGGGAGCAGTTTGTCTAAAGTGTACTTCTCTCCGTTCTGAAGAAAGTTCCGGAAAGATTTAACATGGGAATCAATTGGGAGCTAGCTGGA